GATTTATAAGCAGTCCGGATTTTTTACCCCACCATCCAACTTTTAAAAACCATAGAACTTTAACTACTTAATATTTATTTATATAGACTATACTATCTTTCTTATTCTCGATCTGGGCAACTAGGAGCAGTATGCGCTTGTGATCTACATATACTACAGGTTCGTGGTGCACGAATTCGTGGTTCAATTAGCGGGGCCACAGCTTCATCCAAAACCATATTATCACTATTTTGAATAAGTTCCCTCCCTTCCTGACCTGTAAGAACACCCCCAGTAGCAATATATTGACGTCGCACAGTCTTCTTCTTCTTTTGACGTTCAGATTCAGCTCGTAAACGTCGATTTTCCTCTGCCAAACCCGTAGCTGATTGCATAGCCATCTTACACCCTTTAACCAATTGATCTAATGCAATAGCAGTAGGGCTTGAGAGAACGTTTGTACGTCGTTTAATAGATGCTTTAATTGTCTGGGTTTGCTGATCTGCCTCATATGTATTATGGGGTGTCTCAGGGACCCAAGGTAGTAGGTTTGGAGAAAGTAAAGGAGGAGTAGGCGTATGTAATTGAGTATGTAATTTACTCAATACTTGATCTGGGTTGTACGGGACAAGGCCAGTAGTTGCGAATCCATTACAGATTGTGTTTTTGACCATAGTACTTGTACGGGCTACACGATATATTGAAAGGAAGTCTGGTTTATCGATATGATATGTGCCGGCTCGTACTAGCTCCTCGACTCCTCGTCCATAAAGTCGCTTTAAAACTGCAAAGCAACTAACATCTAATGGCTGTAAAAGATGAGATGAGTGCGGTGGCATACAAAGCGTTATGATGTTATGTTCTGAACAGAAAAGATCGAATTCGGGAGTAGAATGACTACCATGGCCATCGAGGATTAAAAGTCGATATACTCCTTTTACACGGTCCTTGGTATATTTCTCAAATACGTCTGAAAGCCACTTAAGACCTAAGGAATCATTGGTCCACCCTTTATCACTAAGTGCAATTGTCCAATCTGCTGGTAATTGATCTGTATACCAAGTCGATATATGCACCTTGCCCTCAAATATAACCATTGGAGGCAACACCCATCCATCTGCACAAATTGATTCGACAACTGTAACCCATTCGCGATTCCCTGGTTGTATATGAATAGCCCGTCCTGTATATTCTGACCCTGTAACAACTTTTGCGGTCGCAATTACTCCCATCTGAAAGCCAGTCTCGTCGAAATTGTATATATCCTCCGCTAGTATACCATATTTCGCAACAATATTATGTACTAATCGAAACCAATCTCGGATAATCGTAGGATCCTCGCATTTTGCGCGCTTATAGTCGTATTTACGAGTGTATTTCGTCCGTAAAGAGTCGTGGCGCTTTATAAAGTTGTCAACCCAGCATTTTCCGACAATAATTCGACCTACTCCAGTTCGCTTTTCCAGTAGTAAATCGGCCATTTGGCGTATCGAATCTTTCCGTACTGGCAGACCTCTAGCTTCCATTGATAACATCCATTGTATAAGTGCTGATTCCTCGAGGTCGGTGAGTTTCTGGTTTCGGGGTCGGAAATCGCGTTGTGGAATAGCTCCCTTGACGCGGTCGTAAGTAGTAGAATATGGCGCATCGTACCTTGTACAAGCTGCTTTTAAGCTTGTAAATTGACCCTTATTGTATGCACTGATTGCAAGAGCAATTTGACCTTCTTTTCGAGACATTTGAACAATAATTGGGTAAGTTATGTAGATTGAAAGTGTGTAGGGTGGTCAATGGTGGGGTAAAGAATCCGGACTGCTTATAAATCCGGACTCCTTATGAAGTACGTTAGTATGTTCTTTTATTAGGTTATATATATAGTAGTAATAGTTAATTCTTAGTATATCTACTTATACCTAAAAGGTACCTAGACCTTATATTAAAGCGTTATAGAATAAGTAGATAAATTAGTAGTATAAATCAAAGAAAGTTTAACTATTAAATTATAGTAGTATTCTATTCTACTATATAAAATCTACCTTAACCTCTAGCGAGAGCCACTGTCGACTTTTAATATATTCTAGCTATATATAAATAAAAGTTTAAAAGTTCCTATAAAACACCTAGCCTAATTATATAACCCTAGTATAAAACAATAGAAGACTTATAATTAATTTAAGTTCCTTTTAAGTAATACTATTTTAAGAGATAAATATAGTAGTTTATTCCTTAATTCGAGTAAGTTTATTAGATGAAATTAAAGCTATAAAAGTATTTATATTTACTAAGTATTCTAGGACCTTTATAACTATACCCTAAACGTTTTTAAGGTTATTAATTAGTATTCTTAGAACTAGTATTAAATCCTTGGATTTCTTATTCTATTCTTCTATAAATTTTAATATAGCGTCTTTTTATACGAATGTATCGAACTTATTATCTAAATAATAACTAAAGAAACACTACTTTAAGTATAACTTAATAATCTGTTCTAGGGCCTCTATAAATAAGTTAAATATAAAAGGAAGAACTATACAAATATATTTTATACCTTTCTACTAAAATCCTAGTATCTATTATATATATAAAGCTATAGGGATTATTTAGAAAGTATTTAATATATCGCGCTCAAATATTATATAGCTTAGCCTACCTTCTATACTAAATCTAAAACCTCTTTAAACTTAATATATTATAAATATAACTTATAACTTATATTTGTTTAGTATATTCGCATTAACCGAGTTTCCTTTAAAAAAGAACAAGTAATAGATTTAGCGGTAGTTACTATTCGGTTTTAGTTTTAGTATAAATCCTAGTAGTAATACTATAAAAGGTTCGTCTTCTATAGGATCTACTATCTATACTAGCCTACTGTCACGAATCACTGTAACGAATACTCAAACTGGCTAACTAAACTTGGCTGGGTGTTCGCTGGTTGGTATGCTATGATAAGAAGAAGACTATCGGGTTGTTCACTTGGAAGTGAACTCGTTACTTGTATCAAAGATGTCAAACTAATATGATAAGATTGATAACTAAGTTGAGCACGAATCTCCTATCTAATGGCAGACGTGCCAGTCTTATATAGAACCTTCGTTCTCTCGATGTTCGCTCGTTCGACAATCGAACCGGCTAACTTCGCCTGTTCGCCCGGCTAACTGGCGAACTCCTAATATCACGTGATAACAATACAGAGAAATCCCTGGATCGAAATCTCCTATCTAATGGCAGACGTGCCAGTCTTATATAGAACCTTCGTTCTCTCGATGTTCGCTCGTTCGACAATCGAACCGGCTAACTTCGCCTGTTCGCCCGGCTAACTGGCGAACTCCTAATATCACGTGATAACAATACAGAGAAATCCCTGGATCGCTTAGCTACTCCAAACAATCCCTATTTGCTATAAGAAACCTGGATGTGCCTTTCGAGGGTTGCGCCTCTTATTATGACAAGTATCACGTGAACACGTGATTCGTGACAAGGCGCCGGGGCTACCTAATTCTAGTATATAATAGCCGGTTATCTTTATAGACCAATGGCTCCACTTATTATAGGTCTACTATATACGATCGGATTACTATAAACGTCTATACCCCAGTATTTATATAGATTATTATCTATATCCTTGTTATTGTGACCGTGTGGAGTGAACCACTGCTTGCTGTGATGAATACGGAGTCAAACGGAAACTGCTATATAGAGCGAACAACTAAGTGAGGAAGGAAGAGAGTTACAGAGGAACAGAAGCTTATATACAGGCTGCCAGCAGCACGCACGTGCCGTGCTGCTACACGTGATCTGCCCCCAATTCCTCCAACTCCGTAACAGTTATTATTAAACTATATTATCTTAATAAACTATATCTAGACAAGGTTAATCTAATTCGTACGTACTGGGAACAAGGATATATTCTCTTATATAGAACATAGTATTGTAAACTTAAGTAATACTAAATCTTAGAGGGTCATTCTTAGAGTAAAAACCCTGGCGAGTCTCTAGTCGATTAATAGTAGGGGAGGTAGATCTCCTGTAAGGAGTTAGTAACTAGTGATCTTAGTAATAAGCTCTTACTACTCTTGCTATAGTATTAATTACTTCTCTTACAGTATCTTCTTTATTATATTAGGCTTATAATTCTACCCTTACCGTTTCGTAAGCTTCTTTAGCTAAGCGGTTCCTTGCTCCTATTAGATTTCGCTAATTATAAAGGTTCTATTCTATATATATAAACGCGCGATTACCTACTCTAGTAAGATTTATTGTATAAGCTTTTTACGATATATATTTTAGAGGTTTCAGAGGTATAATTAAGGCTTATTATTTTAGATTAACTAGATTCAAAAGAGCTAATAATCGTACTATATAGTACAATAAATATAGTGTTACTAATAGAGGAGTATACTCGTATGTAGGATATTTATCCCACCGAGTTACTTAGTAAGCACTCCCTTATTCACAACAAACCACTGCTATTCAAAATAGCCGACGAATGTTGGCTTGAGCTCGCAACATTACGAGCTGTTTCTGTGGTTGCATTGATAAGTCTTGCGTGACTTGAAGCTCATGAGAATTCCATTTTCGCTGTATACAGCGCTTACATATTTTTTTTCTGAGCAGATCGGCCACACCGCAGTTGTAAACTGAAAAGAGTGACGGTACCAATGAGGTGGGTGAATTGTGCTAACCATCAACAGAAGTGACAGCGCAGTGGAAAGACGCACTGGCTATTATTTGCTGCAATGCCGTCGCATATGCACGTTTCCACACTTTCGAATCACACTTCTATGATAGGTTACTCTGAGCGACATAACTGGAAATAACCCACTGGAAACAACCAATTGGATGCAAATTTGCCGACAAAGATATAATCTTAGGAGTATCTGTCCTCGTTTGGCTCTTCTCTTCGAGTTTGCATCGTTCTTCCAGATTCTACATTTAAAGCCTCTTCAATCTGGCAATATTGCCAATTCTATAATCAACACCACCTCTTCTTCCTAAACAACTCTCAGTATTTAGTACAAATGGCACCAGTGTTAATCTCAGCGGCGGTTGAAATCGCAGCATCGCCAGATGTAGTACGTGTTAAGGTCTGTCCTTTCACATCTAGTACTGTAAACAGCCACCAGATATACACCAAACTAACAGAATTCTCTTTATAGTTCCTTGACTTTTCTACAATCCATCTTTATCATCATCCACCGGGCCTCATGAAATCCCTCACACCACTTGGCGGGGCCCAAGGGAAGACTGGCATGGAGCTGCAAGAAGGCGACTGGGTGAAAATCGTTGCAGGGAATAATGTCGTAACGCCTATGATCCTAGTAAGTATTATTTTGTGCATACCTCAGCTTTACTAACCTAGTATCACACCCGACGATCACTAACTCAGGCTCATACCTTCTCTTAAGAATACTGATATAATATGTTAATTACTAATGTTGCTAATGAACATAGGCTAATGACGAGACAAAGTTCGTATGGCGAAAATTCCTTACCATTCGCCAGGTTCAGTCTTATAGATGGCACTCACACCTTCCATTTTACCCCCGCCGCTTCCTCTATACTCAAGTCACCAAGGACCTATTTTGTGCAGGAAGAAACAGTAGTCGGCTTATTTGCTTGGGTATGTCGCTTCGCCGTTGTGCAGAATATGATGCGGAAGGAGTTTGAGGTGTTGAATCCGAACTTGAAGCTTTGGGTAGAGAGTAGAACTACCGGTAGTACGCAGGGCTTAACAAGTTCCTAAGGTTTTCAATATTATTAGGTTATATCTAGGAACAATACTGTAGGAGCGTACTAAGCGTAAGGGATAAGTAGAATGTTATAGTATAAAGGGGCTACTTCACGATGTTGCGTTTGCACTTTCTTTTTGGTGTTCCTGAAAATCACGCTTTTAACACAAGTTATAAATATAGCTGTAAGAGCTTACATAACGTGGAATTCATAACATATTCAGGGTCAGACACTATGAATAAACTCTCTGCCCTCGGACAAACCCCTAGCTTTCTCAATCTTGCGGTAGGTATTCACAAGAGATGTTGGATTATCTTTGGAGTTGGATAATTCAACACTGGCGTCGTTTCGAGATTGCCGAGTTCCTCTCAATGACTGCAGCGAGCTAAATACCCTACTGAATATTTGGCCTTCGTTGAAGATTTTCGAGATCGTGGGACAGCAGCACACGATAAGCAAGCAGGTCATCTCTGAGAGACACCAAATGCCTACCGCCGATACGTGATAACTCACATCCGGTGATTGGAAGTATTCCACTGTTGCAACTAATCGACCGAGTGCTGAAGCCACACAACTGTCCCAATATTTTATCAGCAAAAACACTTTGAATTAACGAGGCTGATGGACATACATACATGATACCAACACCAAATACCAAGGCGACGCCAATCTTTCTTTTCAGTGTCATTTGCAGCCGCCAGATGATGTGCTGAGGTAGAAGGAGAATGATGATGTTTGACAAAACATTGATTGCAGACGATGTAACATCTAGGATCATTGTATTGATACATGTGCCCGGAACCAACTTATCCCATATTCTTTTGTAAGGCCTACAAGAGAGGGCTGATGCAATCACACTAGCTGTATAAAAGCAAACGTTGATCACCAATAAAGTGTAGCAGATACGCTGCGATAAAGAAGTTAGCGCAAGATATGTGAAGGTTTGTCAAGATTGAATCCTTATCAAACGTAATCATCTCCCGGGGAGTGATGAAATTGAATTTGATCTTTGCTTACGGAGAATCTTCTACTTATCCCATGTGGGGAAAATATCCGAGTCCACTCCAGCAAGATGGCAACTTTCAAACACATTACCGACATTGCGTAGAAGCAAGCGCTGAAATGAATATACTACTTCGTGTCAGCCTCGGAGATATATCCATCTCCGACTTCATCAAAATCTTACATAGAGCATATCTTTCGTATCCTTCACGCGTATGTCCCACTGATGTACAAAAAATCCCACGCCTCGACAAAGGGTGTATATACAATACGTGAAAGAAACGAATAGACCCTAGTCCACGGTTATCATTCATGTTCGAGAAAAGTCTCATTCTGAGGGGAGCCTGACGCACATATCCTGCGAATACAAAAACTATACTCTGTCAGCACGAAGCACCATATGCACCGGATATGAGGTTTCTCACAGTCATCCAAGTTAAACTTTCGAATAATGGCGACCCTTGAATAAGCCCGCAAAAGTATCGTCAAGGTTGAGAGCACAAGGAAAAAGGTCATCGTGATAACGACGAGACCAGTTTGATTTGGAGGGTTGTTAAAGTTGGATGTGACCCCTGGTGGGGGGGCAAGGGCCGGCGAGTTGAGTATGAAGTCCATGAGATCCATAATAGCCTTGAATTATTCAATGATATCACTGAAATTGGTAGTAGAGTGCGCTGGAGGTCGCAAATGTGTATACACGAATTCGTCTTAGGTTCAATAATTCAAATAACAACGAAGTTGGGTCTACGGGCGAGGGGCAAGTTTTGGCCCGCGCTATCGTCAGCACTGGTTTCGCTTAATACAAAAAGAGAAAAATGGCAAGCGGCAAAGGCTTGCCGTGCGATCGTTCAGCCCCGACACCTAGTCCCATGCTGACACAAGTATATGATTTAATTGGGTCAAAATCAATATTACACAACATGCCATGGGGATGTGAAAGGATAGTTACACGAAGAGAGGCGGTGTTCATGTAGCCCTCCAAAAATCTATTACATATGCATGCAGTTATTTACCCGCAAACACTCTCTGCATGTCAGTGATAATCCTTGAGATGATAAACCAAGTGATGGTTGCAACCACTGGCTAATTATAGAATGTAACGATCGACGGGAGGAGGGGTTAGTTCTCGTAGTTTGATATTAACTCATGCCTTCTTTTTACAATAGAGAACAAAGTCTTTCGACACTTATCCTTACTATGTATGCCGATGAACTCATCAAGAAATGGGCGGAGGAGCATCGAATTCGAGCTTCAACCACAAAGAACCAGCCTGCTTTCTATCGTAATCTTGAGAGGTTCCTTGACTCCCGTCGCCAAGGTCAAAATCTCATGGGTCTCAAACCTCGATGGGATGAAACTGTAGCGGATTTTACGACTTGTGATTTTCTTTCGCTATCACGCTCTGGCAGAGTTCGTGAAGAATTTCTAAACGAACTTGCTCGTTATCCTAACTTTGATCTCGGTGCAGCCGGGTCACGAATTCTGTATGGCAACTACCCTTATTTAAACCAGACTGAACAGGAAATTGCGGATTTTCATGGCGTGGAAGCCGTACATCTTACACAATCGGGGTTTGCTGCAAACGTTGGAGTTCTGTCCGGCGTCCCGCTTCCTGGAGATGCCATCGTATACGACGAGCTCGTACATGCGAGCAGCCACGAGGGCTTCCATCTTAGTTTGGCTGAGTATAAGTTGCCATTCCGCCATAACGACCCCGATTCTTTACGCGACACTCTCGCTACACTGAAGTACGATCAACCAGAGTTTGAGGCAGGGGCTCGATCGGTACTTGTGTGTGTTGAGTCTATCTACAGCATGGACGGTGATGTATGTTTACTTCAAGAGTTTGTCCAAGTTGTCAGAGAAGAATTTCCAAATGGCAATGCACAATTCGTCGTAGATGAAGCTCATAGTCTTGGTATTATTGGAGAAAAAGGAAAAGGGCTAGTCTCTTTGTTGGGCCTTGAGAATGAAATAGCTATCCGAATTCACGTGGCAAGCAAGTCTTTGGGTTGCGTTGGTGGTAAAGTCAACTTCTCTGTTTACAATCCTATAATCTAGTACTAACAGTCGTACTAGGTATGATTCTTTGCAATAATACAATCCGCTCTATGCTATTGAATTGTGCACGTTCAATTCATTTTAGCTGTGCGCCCTCATTTCCAATGGTTGCTTCCATCCGTTCAGCCTATCAACTTCTTATGAGAGGAGAGACAGAAGAGGTTAGTGAAACGTATTTAGAAAAAGAGTTTACTTACTAAGATATTTTATCCACAACAGGCACAACACAAAATTCAAAACAATGTCAAACACTTCTTCGCAGTCCTAACTTCAAACCCTGTTTGGGATACTGCGGTAGACGAAGGCCTCCTAGATATTCCTCTTCTTGAGGATTGGACACAACGCCCATTCCAGACTCACATTGTGCCTCTACGCACTCGAGCAGGTCACGAAATGCTTGTTTTTTTTCAGTTGATACTTAACAATATGAACGCTTATCCGATGGCTTTTCCGGTGGTACCTAAAGGACAAAGTCGGGTACGACTTGTTTTTCATGCGCATAACACCTTCGGGCAAATAGAGGACTTGGCTTCAAAGATTTGCGAGTGGGCGACCGAAATGCTGGAAATTGAAAAGGGAGATTCGAAGAACGAGCTACCAAAGTCTGCCCGCCAGGCTTATGGCATTCGGAGCGAAATTGGGGTTGTGGAGTAGAGCTGGATATTTATTATGGATTTCGTGAATTGCAAATGGGAGAACATTCTCTAAACTTTCGAATTTGTGAAATCAATTGAGAACGTGGTTTGATTCAGCCAAGAAAATCACCGTGGGATATAACTTTTGCATGTTTATCACCCCACCTTACCTGCAAACTTGAGCAGTCTTACTGTAGCGACACGTAAATGTTACAGCAGCAATTCTGGTTTCTGATATTTTCCCAACATCGTACCTGAGATTCTGGCATGGTGTGGGCAAGTTTCCCATTGGTGGACTGGATTACTCCTTACAACACTGCCGCCCTCTTAACATATGCAAGAGTTACCAAGCGTGTGCAAATTCGGGCTGATAATTTTCTGCTTGGATCTTTTTTTCGCGAAGGCTGAAGTCCTTTCGGCGTTTGAACTGGACTGGTGATTGGCGCCATCGTCTCGGCACTTCGTTGATAAACTGTAGTTTTAGAGAGGGGCACCGTTGCAGCGTCGTAGAATTATGCACCTTGTCGGCTTTCGTGATTAGTATAAGTTAAAGGCAACTAATTGTAACAATTGTGCGAATCAACCTGACATTTGGTGACGCATTCGGGTAGCCAAGATTGTAGCGTCGTATAGTAACACACCCTTTTGGCTTTCGTGATTAGGGTACGAAGCGACCTGACATCGGTATACGTATTGGGGTAGCCATGATTGCAGCGTCGTATAGATTTCATCTCCATGAATGTTACAGCGGCAGGAACAATTTCAAAATTAGAATTTCTAGTCTAAGTACAGTACCTATGCAGCCTTGGAGTTAGCTCCACGCACACACATTCCTCACCGTAAAGAAAACACATCATTGGACATTTTCACCTCTTTGTGTCACCTCATCGTGATGTAAACTGGGAACCTTAGCCGTCAACTCAGCAATGATCTCACTCCAGACTATAGCTTGCACTTTCCTTCCTGCCTGGCTCGTCATGTTTGGAATAGCTTTTCTGGACTGGATGTTAGCACAAAATCAAGCCAATGAGATGAAACTTGAGGATGCACATACTTGCGGTAGCCTTCGCTGGACAACCAGGTCATAGAGAACTTGCCCTGTAAAGTTTGCAACGTCAGAAAGATGTGGCCTAACTGAGTCACAGTATCTGGGGAGTACCTACATGCTCATTCTTGGAACTCAAGGCAGCTCTAACAAATTCTCTTGCACCGTGGTCTGGCGATTTGCCCAAAATTTTGAAGTATACTTGTCCCACAATCTTAAGGAGCATGGATCTGCTTTGAACGCTACGACCAATATCTGTCTTGACTATACCTGGACACACACTCCTCACGATGACTTGAGGTCTACATAAATTAGAACCGCGTGTGTTGGTGCTGAGGAGCGTACTTAGGAATACTCCATAGTCAATGATAGAAAGAACCACTTACTCGCTATTCAAGTCAAGTGCCTGCTTCGAGAGTTCAGCGATCGCATACATCACCAGCAATTTGCAATTGGCGTAATTTGGCAGAGTCGTCTTCCACAGGTCGGGCCAGTTCTCTTTGCTGTTAAGATGACTCAAAATTCCGCCCTGCTCAGCCCATGTTGGCCAATTCTTGATGTTGGGATAGAGATGGTCTCGTGAAGTAACAAAAACTAGATGCGCTGGATATTCTCGACGTGGTCTCTCGCTTTTCATCCACGCTAAGAGGAGGAGCCCGAGCAGAGTTGTGCTCAATGTATTGACTTGTATTGTTTGCTCCCTGCGTTAAATATTAGATCCAATGAGTAGTATTTCAGACAGCGTGGAACATTTACCAGCCTTCCGGACTTTTTTCAAATCTAGAATTAATGTTTCCGGCACTTAAAACGGCAACATCTAGTCCTCCACAAGTTGCGAGTCTATCCTTCAACTCGTCAACAAACAACATGCAAGAAGTATAGGTGCCCATATCTAGAAGCATGAAGACAACTCTGTCCTTGCCATCAACCCGTGCGGCTTGTTCAATGTGTTGCTTTGCTGCTCTTCCCCGGGTTTCGGTCCGGCCAGTAATAAACACACGGGCACCCTGACTGGCGAAGTGTACTGCAGCTGCCAAACCAAGACCTGCCGTCCCGCCGGTGATGAGAACATTTTGATTATCAAAAGATAAGTCTAGTAGTGGGGATGATTTCCAGCGGCCGAGAACACGACGAAATGTGATATCTAGAAGCATTATATTTATGGTTGGAGACTAAAGCTTGGAGTTGCAATATTCAGTAATAAGAAGATACACGTTTTCTTTTTATAGTATAGTACACCATTTGATCAATTGCACTTACTACCTACTGTAGGCGTGTGGGGGCGTGGTAGGTGTACGTGGTAAGGTCAAGGATTGCACAGCACAGCCCCTGACTGGAAAAGATCCTAGATAACCCCCTGCCACCACTCACACCATGGTTCAGCTTACATAATCTTGTGTTACAATGATTAGCAACTCACCGAGGTGCCGTGCGACACCCCGAGTGAATTCAAACAATTTGTGGTAATCCAACTTGTTGATACCACAATCGTCCTCTCTCAACAACACATGAAAATGGTTTCTCACAAGTCTCAGGAACGCTTTTTGCTCTACCCTGATCCAGTTCGCGCGTACGTCTAGAAGTCAAGGGAACTTGTATATACTTACAGCTGACGGTAAAAGACCATCTGTTCCCTATAGGAACGAAGAAAAGAATAACCCAAGGCTTCCAGGCTGGTTACTTGTGGTGGTCGCATTTTTGCAAGTTCCGCAATCTCACTTTCCAGCTCAATCTTCCCTGAAACATCTTCTAATTAAAGTCATGTTATACAAACAGAATAGAACAGTTGGGGTTTTTCAGACGGCACATCTGGAGAAATGCTGGGTTTGCTTCACTGCGAAGAATCAGAGAACACCTCCACAAAACCGAGCCTCGATTTGATCCTACAGTCATCCCTTTTCGAACGCTCACTCAGCCTCTTGTGTCAGAAAGTGAGGAAGAATCAGAAGGAGAAAGAGGAAGCGAGGGCCAACATAACTCACCTGATGTACCGTCACCAAAAGATACAGTCCGATACTCCGTCTCCCACTATCGAGAGCTCTATCTTTCTGGTCAAATCACCCCGTTGGACGTTGCCAGGACCCTTTTACCTCTAATCCGGCCAGACACATCACCACCGGGCGTGCATTCGACAGCATGGATAGAGGTCAAAGCGGAATTAATCATGGATGCTGCCAAATCATCGACCTTGAGGTATAAGGAGAAAATATCTCTGGGAGCTCTGGATGGGATTCCTGTGGGGATAAAGGATGAGTACGATGTGGAAGGTTATGAAACAACGCTCGGCTCTGTTAAGAAGGACGTTGTGGAAGAAGGCGGCGCTGCTGACATCGACAACTGGTGTGTCCAAATGCTGAAGGAAGCAGGCGCCATAATTATGGGCAAAACCACGATGGTCGAATATGGCATGGGTAAGAGTCCACTAGCTTTAGAAAGCTCCTTCAAGTTTTGCAATTTTCTTACGCTAGTGACAGACACCTCTGGTAACAATCCATCATTCGGGACTCCGAGAAATCCATACAATGAGAACTACTACACCGGTGGGAGCTCCTCAGGGTCTGCTTATGCTGTATCATCTGGACTAGTTCCAATTGCAATGGGTAGTGATGCAGGTGGCAGTATCCGAATTCCTTCATCTTTCTGCTCTATTGTCGGTTTAAAACCAACGCATGGACGGTTATCCTACATGCCAAGTACAAACTACTGCAGCTCATGTGCAGTCAAGGGCCCAATTGCAGCAGACGTTAGTTCCCTAGCCGCTGTCTATGAAGTTGTCAGCCAGCCGCATCCCACGTCTCCGTATTATGGAAGCCACATCCCCAGATCCCCATGGAAATCTCTTACTGAAAATACAGAGACACCAAAGATAATTGGTGTTCCTGAGGCTTGGGTCCAGCACGCTTCACCTGGCATACAGAAACTGTACCAAGAAAGCATTACTCGCTTAGCGGAGAGTGAAAGCTACAAGGTTGTTTCTATCGAGATACCGTTTGTCGAGGAGGGACGTATTGCACATGCCATGACGGCCCTCACCGAAGCATCAGCGGTGCTGGCTGACACCAGGGGAATCTCACCTGCAATCCGGATCATGATGGCGTTAGGACGCACGACGCCAGCAAATGATCTCCTCTTGTCACAGAAATTACGGCGTGTACTAATGCAACATCTTGCGTGGCTTTGGCAAGAGCATCCCGGGATGGTAATTGTTACACCCACTACGGCATGTGCAGGCTGGCCTATTCGTTCCGCCTCGGAGCTAAAATATGGCATCAACGATGGTAACCGCACCCAGGAAAGCATGGAATACGTTTGGATGGCCAACTTCTGTGGTGTGCCAAGCATAAGCTTGCCCATTGGCTATGTTGTTCCAGAAGGACAGGATGGCGAGGGAGAGTGTGCCAGCGAAGATACATCGGGGAAGATACCGGTGGGGCTAATGGCTATGGGAGAATGGGCAACCGAGCGAGCACTCATGAAATTTGGGCTTGATGTTGAGGAAGTATGTGTTGAGTTACAAAGTCGTCCCCCTGGATGGGTGGATGTTTTAGAGCTGGCAAAACATCACACTGAAGTCACAGGCAACGGGCGCCATAAATAGAACTTCTAGGAGCAATAGATGATGATTCGGCAGACAAAATAAACCTTTCAAAACAGTAGTCACATTTTCAGTATTTGACCTTCTTCAACTGGTTTCTTATTAGACTAAGAAGACAAGATGCGGCTTTAATCCCTTTGAGTCTCGGTGAGATTTACAACTTTCTACCTGCTAATTCTAAGCTATGTATTGAATCACCGATTTCAATTGTGGCTGAAAAGAACTTGATCTTGGAAGGCAAGGACTTTTTTTTCATTCACGGGGAATAAATCTAGGGAGTAATGAACGTTCAAAGCTTATTCAATTTTCAAATCGCTGCCGGCCAATTTCCTCTGTTTCCAACGAGAGATCTTTCATAAAAAAAGACACACTAAGCCCAAAAATAGACAGAGAGGTAAGAATGATCCATACCGCTCGAAATGCTTTCTCGTATGCTTCAATCACCCCAGACATCGATTCAGCGGTCAGAGTTAAGGTACGAAGGACGGGAATGAAACTAATCGCTTGGCTTGCATCTTCGAGCAACGCCAGTTGTTCTGGTAGCGGTAGTAGCGGAGCAATGCCTTTTTGAAAGACAGAACTGAATGCCGTGGAACTGATCGAGAGTCCAATTAAGGCACCACCAAGACGAAACACCACGAGCATACCAACAGCGAGGCCTGTATCGTCGACGTGGATTACGCTCGCTTGCATCGGAATCTGGGTGCCTGTGAAGACAGTGCCGATGCCAACACCCAACATAGCTTGAAAGAGATATGTGTTAACACGGGAAGTTTCGTGGCTTACGAGGCAGAAAAGGCCGAAAGAGACTGAGGTAAAGATCCAACCAAGCCAAAGCAGAACGCGGTAACAGCGTGTGAATTCGATGGTTACTGGCGCGATAAAACTAAAGACCACGGCAAGGATGCATACTGGTATAGTTGACTTTGCTGCTTCTAGAGGGGCTTCCAGAAAGACAGCTTGGAAAAATAGGGGCAGGTACAGCAACATGGTATACAAGAGCAAGCCGTGAACGAGACCGGTTACCAGGGAGACGATAGCAGTAATGTTGGAAAAGATACGATAAGGTATGACGGGATTCTTTGGTCGTCTCTCGTATATACCGAAAACGAGCAGCGTCATGAGCCCTATGATCAACGGTACAATAGTCCTCCACGAAGACCACGGGTACATGGTGTCGGCCCAACTTAGAGGGAGGGCAGTAACAGTGGCACCAACCGTGAGTAGAACCATACCCATCCAATCCAGTTGCTTTATCTTGACACAAAACGGCGTTTGGATGGGTTTGAGGCGAAGAAAACACATAGCAAGTACAAAGGCACTTCCCACAATTGGTAGATTCACCCAGCCTATCCATCTCCAGGTACTAAATTCGCTAAAGAGAGCTCCTACGATGGGGCCCAAGATGCTTCCGGTAGCAATGGCAACTGCGATTGCTCCCAAATACAATGGTCGTTCCTTGAGGGTGGTGATATCAGCCAGAATGATTTCCTCGAGCACGTCGAGACCACCCGCTCCTAGGCCTTGAATGAGACGTCCAGCGATCAAAACAACCATGCTATTCGCCACAGCAAAGACAATGCACCCAATGGTGAAGAGACCCATGGACACGTACAGAGGTTGTATACGACCAAATACGTCTGATGCCGTGACATATATGGGTTGACTTATCACCACACCAAGCACGAAGGAAATGCTAGCCCAAAATGATTGCAATGTCGTTGCATTTAATTGGCTCGCGATTGCCTACAATGCATCCAGAAGAATTAGTTGCGCGTTGAATCTGGAGAGCAGGAGACCTACCGGCAAGGCAATTGCAAGAGCCGTGGAGTCCCATGATGTGATCAATGCCAGAAGGCCGAGGGTAAGAATTGACATATAGAACGAGAATGGTTTCTTCTTGGGAGTCGGGGATATCAGTGAATTTCCGTTGCCCACTTCAATGGTGCTGGGGGGAGGATTGCTCTCCCTGAGCTGCTTGGGCTCAATTGATTCCATCATTCATTGGGCTCACTACCTAGAGCTCCTCCGTACTAAATGCGCTATGAAGTTGAAGTAGTAGCACAATTGTCCTTGAATAGATAAAAAAGGCGTGGGGGGCAGCAAACACGGTCCAGAACGACTCGCACTAACCCCTCATCTGATGCACAAGTGACATGCATGCACTGCGACCCTACAGTACAAACGCAGCTCCATGCTCTCAATGCACGAAATAGGGAGGTTGGGTGAAACATTTGAGTAACCACACAACCTTCATCCATATACCCATATAGTCTTATGATGCTGCTTTAAACGATGCTACCCAATTTTAGGCAGGAAAGAAAGGCCAAATTACTTTTATCAAGATGCACGTTTTAGAAGTTGTAACCCAATATTATGATTTGACTTAGAAATATAATTATCGATTCAGAAGCAATCTAATTTTTGCCCCTTCTTGAAAGCTGTACTTGCGTAAGACAAAAATAATCAGATTATTACGGCATGGCCTATGTCCAGAACAAAAGCATATCCGAGAGTCAAAAATCCTCAGCCATGGAGTCTCTTACCGAAAGCACGAATGGTGCAAACAAAAACTTCCCCACCACCAATGGCGTCGTGGGAGAATCCAAGTTCACCCCCATTGCCATATGTGGAATGGCTTGCCGTCTACCAGGGAAAATACACTGCCCACAGGATTTGTGGGAGTTTCTGATGGCCAAGGGCGATGCAAGAACACTCGTTCCCGATACCAGATACAAGATTTCGAGTTACTACTCCCCAACCAAAAAGCCCGGTGCTGCTGTCAGTCAATACGGTTATTTCCTGGATGAAAGCGTGGATCTAGGTGCGCTCGATACTTCGTTCTTTTCCATGGCGCAGGGAGATGTTGAGCGGCTCGACCCACAGCAAAGGATCTTACTTGAAGTGTCTCGGGAGTGCATTATTGACGCAGGAGATATCCGCGAGAAAGGGAACAATGTGGGTGTTTATGTGGGAAGTTTTGGCAATGATTGGTACGATGTCACTCAGCGAGAAACGCAGAGATATGGTTCATATCAAGTGGCTACCACGCATGACTATGCATTGTCAAATCGCATTTCATACGAAATGAACTTACGAGGACCAAGGTATGAGATATTGTTCTGAAAAACAACCCACCATTGTGGTATGTTCAACTAACGAATCCAGTATGACGATTCGTACAGCATGCTCATCTAGTCTCGTGTGCCTCAACGAAGCCTGCAATTCCATTGCGAAAGGAGAATGCACCTCTGCTATAGTAGGCAGTACGAACATTATCATGGCCCCCGCTCTTACTGCAGACATATCTGAGCAAGGCGCTCTCAGTCCTAATGGCTCTTGCAATACGTTCTCGTCGAAGGCGGAAGGTTACGTGCGAAGCGAGGGTGTCGTTGCGCTTTATGTCAAGTCCCTACAGGATGCTCTTCGAGATGGCAACCCTATCCGTGCTGTGATCACCGGTACGGCTGCAAATTCGGACGGTAAATCTGCCGCATTCTCCGTCCCAAGCGCGGATGCCCAAGAAGAATTGATTCGACATACATACCGAATTGCTGGTATCGCGGACATTTCCAAGACCGGTTTCTTTGAATGTCATGGAACTGGAACACCAGTTGGTGATCCTATCGAAGCTCAAGCAATCGCCAGAGTCTTTGGGACGACCGGTGGTATTCATATCGGATCTATCAAGCCAAATTTGGGGCATGGTGAGGGTGCTTCGGGTTTAACTGCAGTCATTAAGGCTGTCTTAGCCCTCGAGCATCGAACAATTCCACCCAACATCAAGTCCTTGCCGCGTAGTGAGAAAATTCCCTTCGAAGAAGCTCAACTAACAGTTCCTACGGAGGCTACACCGTGGCCACAAGGACGTCATGAACGAATCAGTGTAAATTCCTTTGGTGTCGGAGGTTCGAATGCCCATCTGATCATTGATTCAGCCGCAAGTTTTGTTTTGCATCCAGATGGGAATGCCAAAGCTGACGAAGCAGCCCCGAGTACATCAGAAACTCTCAATCCACCTCAAATACTTGTATACTCGGCCAATAGCACACAATCACTGAAGGACATGACTGCACAATACCGGAAATACCTTGTGAACATGCCTGATGATGTATCTCTGTCAAACGTTGCATATACTCTTGCCAATCGAAGAGAACAACTTCCGCTACGAACATTCACCATCAGCAGCAAAGACAACCCAGGGCTCCCTTCGCCAACACCCCCAACGTCTTCAAAAACGCCTGTGCTTGTGATGCTATTCACAGGACAGGGCGCACAGTGGCCTCAAATGGCCCGTGAGCTGTTCGGGGCCAACCAAGTCTTTCGTGATACTATAAGATCTCTTGACCATCATCTGCAAGAGCTTGGTCCTCTGTCCCCAACATGGAGAATTGAGAAAGAGCTTTTGAAAATTCCCCGAAAAAGTCGCGTAAATGATGCCGAATTTTCCCAGCCGCTGTGCACCGCACTGCAAATTTCCCTTATCGACACTCTCGCCTCACTGGGTATCAAGCCCGCGGCGGTAGTAGGCCATTCGAGTGGGGAAATAGCCGCTGCTTATGCTGCTGGTGGCCTATCCGCAAAGGAGGCCATTCTGGTGTCTTACCTTCGCGGAATCGCTTCGAAAACCCCGACCAACTGCGGACCTGGATGCATGACTGCTGTTGGGCTGAGCTGGGCAGAGGCGGAACATTTTCTCATTCCTGGAGTCGTAATAGCGTGCGACAATTCGCCACGCAACGTGACGTTGTCTGGCGATGCAGAAGAGATGCAGGTTGTTGTCGCTGCTATCAAGAAAGCAATTCCCAGTGTCCTTGCAACTACCCTGAAAGTGGATAAGGCATACCATTCCCATCATATGGCAACGGTCGGTGGCACTTATCACGGCGCGATGACTGAGTCGGGGGTTGTGGGAATGGTGGCCACCATTCCCTTCTTCTCGAGTCTGACCGGGAAGCAGCTCGATAACGAGGGCTCTGGAGCCAGCACTTTCAACCCCAAATATTGGCAAGATAATTTGGAATCTCCCGTACTTTTCCACTCGGCGGTTTCCTGCATCCTCGAGGCTCCAATTCTGGCTGGGAGCAGCGCGGTCTTTCTCGAGATCGGTCCTCACCCGGCACTTTCTGGTCCTTTGAGGCAAATTCTGACCAGTAAATTCAGCTCTGCCATACATATTCCGACTCTTCTAAGGAGGCAAAACAGTTTGGAAGGATTTCTCACGGCGATTGGGAGACTCTGGGCTCTGAACATTGACGTTGACTTTCGCGGCCTCTGGCCCCAGGGATTATGCGTCCCGAGTTTGCCACGCTACCCGTGGAATCACCAACGACGATATTGGCTGGAGTCGCGGGTATCGAGAGAATGGCGATTTAGCGAACATCCGTACCACGATCTCCTCGGCGTGAGAGTGCCAGAAGGTTCAGGCATTGAGCCCGTTTGGCGTAACCTACTCCACCTGAGTAGCACACCATGGCTCCGCGACCACCGAATCCGCGGCGATATCGTGTATCCTTTCGCCGCATATGTCGCCATGGCCGCCGAAGGGGTTCGACAAATCACGGGAGTGCAAGAAGGGGTCCAACTGCGGAGAGTGATGGTGAGCACGGCCTTGGTGCTACGCGAAGGAGCACCTACCGAACTCGTCACCAACTTTCGGCGGCATCGCTTGACCGACCTTCAGGATAGCTCTTGGTGGGAGTTTACCGTTACTTGTCACAATGGACATGCCTGGACCAAGCACTGTTCGGGTCAAATTTGCGCATCGTCTCAAAGTAGCTTGGGAGACGCGAAGTGCTTCGATATCACCTCGATGCCACACAAGGTTCACATACCACAATGGTATGAGCGTGGGCGTCGCGGCGGTGCGGAATATGGCCCCCATTTCACCGCATTAGAGGAAATGAGGACCAGTGTCAACGGGAGAGAAGGGTTGGGGATGGCAACGACACGGAACAACTGGCATGGCGACGAGGCCAATTATCACTTGCATCCAGTCATCTTAGACACCTATTTGCAACTGGTATGCTCAGCGGCACACCATGGTATGAGACCAGGCTACCAGCAGTTGATTCCTGCCAGTATCGAATCGCTTTCCCTCGCTCGTAGCGCTGCCGATGAGCTGATGATGCTCACCTCATGTAAACCTTGGAAAAATGGTGTCATCGGCGCCGGATCATGCTCTGCCAAATCCTCTTCCACGATGATTTTGGAAGCCTCCGGTGTCGTTGCGTATCCCCTTGCCGAGAGCGACATCGACGAAGGGGTCTCCAGCTTGACGACATCCCGCGCGGAATGGGTACCCCACGTGGACTTCCAGGACCCGGAGCAGCTCATCAAGTCACCTCGCGATGATGAAGTGACCCATCTCACGGATTTGACTCTTCTTGCCCAGCTGGCCATGTCTCTCTCCAAACGCGCGTTGTCATCCGAGGATGTGGCTATAAAAGCCAGGCATATGCATCTTTACAAAGCGTGGCTAGATCAGGAAGCACCTTCATCCCTCGAGAATGTCGATACTGCTGAGCTAACCAATCGTATCAACGACTTGGTTTCCGTCCTATTAAAGACACATGTTGCACCTGCTGCTGTGGCGATCCTTCAAGTTCAAAGCAACGTCGCTTCAATCGCAGCAGGTGGGTTGGCTGGCGTAGACGTCTTAACGACGAATGGTATCCTCGAAGACTTTCAGACACTGATAAACGAGTATGATGCAGCTGCCTTCTTCCGGTCGCTCGCGTATACCAAACCAAACCTTCGGATTCTCGAGCTGGGCGTTGGTCGTAATGCTATGACAGCCGAGCTTTGGAAAGATATGACGCATCCCTCCGGACAAGCTCTCTATTCCAAATACGTTTACACTAATGCAAGCCCATCCATACTCACCGCACTAAAGCAGCGTTTTAAGGAAGTTCCCAATATGCATTTCCATACTCTTGATATCAGAAATGACCCTCTCGACCAAGAATTCCAAGAAACAGATTTCGACTTGATCATCGCCAGTGATGTATTTAATACCGTCCCAAGTCTGAGCCGTAGCTTGGGCTACGTGCGTAAACTGCTTGCGGAAAACGGGAGATTGCTTATTCAGGAGGCCCGAGAGGGCTTATTATGGACAAAGTATGTGTTGGGAACATTACCTATCTGGTGGTGCGGAATGGGAGACAACAGACCCGACGAACCTTATGTTTCAATAGCCAGATGGGAGCAGGAGCTTGCCGCAGCCAAACTACAGAACCTCAAAGTGGCCACCCGAAATTCACCGTATACTTCCCCCTTGACCACCGTGGTAGTTGCAAAGCCTCAGCCAGAGCGAATCTTGTCCAAAATGATAACACTTCTATGCAATTCCAACGAAAGCAAGCGAGGGGCTCTCATCGCCAGCGAACTAGAAGCGCAGGGATTTCAGGTCTCGCGATGCACACTGGACAATGTGCCATCTGAGGGGCAAGATACACTTGTAATTTTGGACGAGGACCAATCCTATTTTGATAACATGTCAACGATCGCTTTTGAACGATTGAAAAGATTCGTATGTGCTCTCAGCAACACCACAGGGATCTTATGGGTTACCAAGCCAGTACAGACACATTGTCCAGACCCAAAATATGCCCCAGTCATTGGGTTCGCTCGAACAATTCGCTCTGAATTGGCCATTGACTTCGCCACTTGTGAAACTAACGATCTAGATTCCGTGACTGGACTTCACTCTCTCATCGACGTGTTCTGCAAATTCCGGGAGCGAGGTGAGGTGCAACCATCACCGGACTTCGAGTATGTCATCACAGAAAGGATGATCCGAGTCAACCGCATCTTTCCATTCTCGCTGAATGACGAAGCTCCGGTACCTGCACCATCTTGTGAAGGCGTCCTAAGAATGGGACGACCAGGAAGGTTGGATTCTCTTCATTGGGCTGCACAACCGACCGTCGATCCGAGAGAAGACCAAGTGGAGGTAGCCATATATGCGGTAGGACTCAATTTCAAGGATGTCTTACTCGCTACTGGCATTATTGAACTCAACGGTGTTGAAATGGCTTTTGGAAGCGAAGCTGCCGGTGTGGTGCTGCGTGTTGGTCCCCAGGTGCACAACTTGGCGATTGGTGATCGGGTCGTCATTCTCTCACCCAACACATTTTGCTCCTTGATCACGATTACGGAAAAGTTGTGCGAGAAGCTACCGGATGAGATCAGCTTTGAAGACGGCGTCTCGATGCCGCTTGTCTTTGCTACGGCCATTCATTCTCTCATCGAGGTGGCACATCTGGAGCCAGGTCAGGTAAGAGTCCCGCATGAATTCCTCATTGACGAGTACTCGTACGTATACCCTCAAACTAATGTACGTGTGTGATGATAGTCGGTTCTCATCCACAGCGGCTGTGGCGGTGTTGGCCATGCGGCCATCCAGGTGGCACGCATGCTTGGAGCGGAGATATACACGACTGTCAGCACCGAGCAGAAGGCGGATTACTTGGTGAAACGATTTGACATTCCACGGAGCAACATCTTTCAGTCCCGCGATACGTCGTTTGTGGGTGACCTCATGCGGCAAACCAGCACAAGAGGGGTGGATGTCGCCCTCAACTCCCTCTCCGGGGAACTTTTGCATGCCACATGGCATTGCCTGGCGAAGTACGGACGGATGGTGGAAATCGGCAAGCGGGACTTGGTGGAATTTGGGAAGCTGGATATGGACGTCTTTCTCGCGAATCGCAGCTACTGTTGCGTTGCGCTGGATCAACTGTCGCTGGATAAGCCGGAAGCCACGCGCCGTTTGCTCCAAACCATGATGAAGTACTGCCAGCAAGGTTTGGTGGCACCCGTTCCTCTCGCCCAAGTCTTCAGCGCATCGGCCATTCAAGAGGCCTTCCAGTACATGCAAAAGGGGAACCACATTGGCAAGATCATCATCTCGGTCCGCGAGCGCGACGGCCGACCGAAGATGGGGATGTGCACCGACACCGGCGCGATTCATCCCAATCTCCGACCGGCTCCGATTCCAAGCCCGAGAGCCGGGAGACATCAAAGCCCGGCCGCCTCCTCCGCGGGTCACGTGCACGCAATGGCATCGTACCTGATCGTGGGTGGCCTAGGCGGCCTGGGTCGCTCCATTGCGACGTGGATGGTGCAGCATGGGGCCAGGAGGCTCATCTTCTTGTCGCGCAGTGCGGGAAGTACAGCTGATGAGGGCGACTTCGTGCGTATGTTGGAGGGGATGGGCTGCACCGTGGAAATGGTTCGTGGGAGTGTGACGAACCTGGTCGACGTCCAGCGTGCCATCGACCAAGCCACGCCCACCATGCCGCTGAGGGGCATCGTGCAAATGAGCATGGTCTTGCGGGACCAAGCCTTCTCTCGCATGACCATGGAGGACTGGACGGCCGCGACGGAGCCCAAGATGGCGGGCACCTGGCATTTGCACCATGCCACCACCACCGGTGCCCAACCATTGAAGCTCGACTTTTTCCTGTTGTTCAGTTCCCTCTCAGGCATCTTTGGCCAACCAGGACAGGCCAATTATGCCGCAGCCAACACCTTTCTCGATGCCTTTGTGCTCTACCGCACGGGTCTCGGTCTCCCATGTACCGCCATCGACCTGGGTGCCGTGCAGGGCGTCGGCTATCTGTTTGGGAACAAAGATACGCTACGGAAACTCCAGGGTTCGGGGTGGCACGCAGTGACCGAAGAAGAGCTGTTGGAAGCATTCAGCGCCGCCATCTCCACCGCTCAGCCTCAGCCCTCCAAGGAGACTCGTACTGATACCATAGCCGACCCAAGGAAGATGCTCCTGGGGACCTCGCCCACCGTTCCCCTCAGCAGCCCGGACAGCAGTGTACGTCTGCGTCATGATGCCCGCCTGGCAGTTTACCAAAACATGCACAGTGGTGTGAATGAGCCAGGCCAAACTTTGGGCAAGGAGGTTGGAAGTTTGCAGACGCTCCTGAACACCATCAAGACGAATGTATCAGTACTTAGAGTGGCCACCACGGCAACCTTGCTTGCAAGAGAGATTGCCAAAAAGCTCTTTGCCCTGTTGCTTAAGGAGGACCAGGAGCCAGATATCACAGCAGGCCTCGTCGAGTTAGGCCTGGATTCCATGGTTGCCGTGGAAATGCGAGCATGGTGGAAGACCGTGTTTGGACTGGATATTAGTATCTTGGACATGATGGCCATGGGAACGCCAGAGGCCCTGGGTAAGAGGGCATCCAATGAACTAGCTGATATATATGGCGTGTAGAAGGTGTGAGAACCGTAGATAAAGTGCCTTTGAAATACCTGGCTTATAGAACGAGTATCTAAAACTAAGGAGAAAAAAGCGTTCCAAGTATAAAGTACGAGGATATATCCGAGCGAAGTAGCGACGGGTGCTCAGTGTGACAGACGTGCTTCAGGTAGAACTCAGAACAATTAACACTCTATTCTTAGGACAAAAGACGAGGAAAGAAGGAGAGCTCGAGAGAGTTGGGAACTAAATACAGGTCGTGCGCGCTAGCGCCTCGCTAAGCGAGCATGTGACATCCAGCCCTCGTGACCATAACAGTCACACTCAGGGGGGTTAATCACGTGACCTTAAGGTTAGTAACGTTGTAATAATTTCGAGCTAGACGACACTTATAAGCTCGTATTTCCGCCTGTCTCTACGTTATTAAGTGTCTTTTACTTAGGACTATACCTTATAGGCTTTCTTAGGTTTTTTTCAATCTAGTATAATGTCACGAATCACGTGCTGTCACGGGATGAGTGAAGACCAGGCGGCGTCCTGACAGGTCAAGCACATCACAAGCTCTTATAGCAAATAGGGATCGAATAGACTAGCTAGACGATCCAAGGATTTCACAGGAAGAAATCACGTGATAAGCTTCATCGACATTATCGTTGTCGATGAAAGCGATGATCGACATTATCGTTGTCGATGAAAGCGATGATCGCCAACATCGACAGTCGATGAGAGTGATCAAGACAGAACGAAGGTCCTCTATATAAGACTGGCACGTCTGCCATTAGATAGGAGATTCGTGCTCAACTTAGTTATCAATCTTATCATATTAGTTTGACATCTTTGATACAAGTAACGAGTTCACTTCCAAGTGAACAACCCGATAGTCTTCTTCTTATCATAGCATACCAACCAGCGAACACCCAGCCAAGTTTAGTTAGCCAGTTTGAGTATTCGTTATATATATATAGCTTAGCGTTCGGTACTTGGAATTCCTTTCTATTCTAGACCCCCTATATTGAATATTCTATTCTATCTATTATACCCTCTAGAATATACTATATTCCAAAGTAGGGTTATGGAATTCTATAATAGAACTAACCATATGACTTATACTATAGTCGTTATATAACTTACGCACCGTCTAACTACTAGGAAGCTTATAACTAGCGTTAGTATATATAGAATATACGTCTTACTATACGGCTTACCTACCTAAGGTATATAATACCAGAACGTGATTTACCCTACTATTTATTTACTTATTACTATTGCTTAGTTATATGATTCGGCTTAGTCAGGGGCCCTCCCTAGGCCTTGAATTAAGTATTCTTATTAGCTCAAAAGTAGTATATATAGTAGTGTAGTTATCCCCTAGAATTCCATAATTCCAGAGGCCTCTTCTCTAGAATATTCCATTCCATTTTATAGGCGATTTGGAACGTTCTATATGGAATGGAATTCCATATATTCCATGGAATCGTGTTCCAGATGCCGAACGCTAATATAGCTATAGGTAGATAATAGGATACTTAGAAAAGATTACTTTTTATATAATATTTCTACTATTTTTATATAGTTAGTTAATCATATCTCATTATATTAGAGGCCGGTTTTCTTTTCTTATTAGTTGTTTGTTACTAATTACTAATTACTACGGTTTTTTATAGTATCGGTACTTGCTTACTCGACAATGTAACAAGTAAAGAGTGTGGATTATTAGTTATTAGTTATTAATTATTAGCCGTAGTATATATAGCCGTTGGTTGGACCAAATAAAAGTGCACAGAACGGATCTCACCCCATATGGAAAGAGTAAAAAGAACACTTTTTACGCACCCACGGAATAATAACCGCCACTTTTGATATCGTGATTATGGGAGGTAGTCCTGCCGGCTTAAGCGCTGCTTTATTCATCGTTCGTCAAGCGCACTCGACGCTTCTTACTGACTCTGGTGAATATCGAAACGGGAATAGTCCAATTCACACTGTTCCTATATAGGACCACCGTCAACCAAGTGACTTTCGGGCAGCCGCAAGAAAAGACTTTGAACGTTATGGAAGTGTTATAATTGAGAATACTAGAGCCACAGCAGTGAAGAAACTTGACGACGGACTCTTTGAAATTACGGGTGCTGCTGGCCAGGTGTGGAAAGGCCGGAAGGTAGTCTTAGCGACTGGAGTCCAAGATATCTTTCCAGATATTAAAGGCTATACTAAATGTTAGATTTCCGAGATGTGAGTGTCGCTTCTGCCCACTAGTCAGTCATCTTTGAAATAATGAGCTGATTCATTCTATAGTTTTCACTGCTTGTATTGTGATGGTTGGGAGGAGAGAGGTGCGGCAACATCAGGGGTTATTGCCGAAGGAGAATTTGATATAGCTATAATGGCCACACACCTTGCCCGACAAGCTTTGCAGCTTTTAAAGGAGACGACCATGTACACGCTTAGTGATGAGTAACTTGCGAGCGCTATCGAGGCCGATATTAAATACGTGCCTGAAATGAAAGTCGATTCAAGAAAAGTCAGCAAGCTTGTTAAAGGTCTTATGGGATCTGAGGTTACTTTGTATTTTAAAGATGGCACTACTAAGACCGAAGGATTCCTCGCCCACAAACCCAGGTTCGAGCTTAGAGGCGATTTCGCATAGCGACTTGGCCTGGAAACACAGAAAGGAGTCATCAAAGTCAGCCCTCCTTTCAACCAAACCAATGTGAAGGGTGTTTTTGCCGCTGGAGATGCAGCCTACCTAATGCAGACCATCGAACAAGCCATGGACTCTGGAACCGCTTGTGGTGGAGGGGCACCCTTGTAACTTCAGGGTAAAACGTATAGTTAAAAAGAGATGTTATAGTATGAAGTATTATAAACTAGCTAGCTTTTCTTATAGTGGCTTTGGCGGGATAATTTGGAGGTGCATCTTCTGTTAGTCTTGTTAATGGGAAATAGATCGGTAATCTTACTAGTGATAATTAACCGACTGATTATTCTCTATAGTAGAACTGCGGCTTGGGAGTGTAGTTTAATAATTTGGAGTTAATGATCTAGCATACAGATCTGTAAACGAAATGGTTTTTATTGAATAGTTTATATACTATACTATGAAATGCGCTGTAGAGATTGCTCTATAATGGAACCTTCCGACAGAAAACGTCTGTGAATTCAAGGGTTTTAGGATACTTATTATCGTGGGGTCTGGAATGTAAGTTCACAAAACTAGTTAGTTAATAAAGAGCTCTGCCTCACCTAATACGCTGGAAATCGACTTCTGAGTTGGTGAATAAAGTTGTGGATAGGATTCTTACAGTTAATATTATGGTACTCTTGAGAGTTCTTATTATTGTAAGGGTGCGATAGCGACAAGGTCAGCTGTATGCGTAAGAACTAAATTGTCTACAAAGAGTGGAAGTGATCGTAAGATCTGAGGCTATTTACAGTTCCAAGGGCACGGGCCACATCGCTTCCTCCACGTCTGTACCCTCACAATTATTGTAAAAACGAGAGTACTTTGAAGCCTAAATGAAATAAAAGGTTTCGGATCTTAATTCTAAAGATTCCTTGAATTATTATAATAAATGTCTATCTAGTTTTACTATGTCATTTTACCTTATTAGAAATGCAGACCTGTTATGATTAGCACCATAGTATAATAGTAAGGCGTAGTCTTTCTTTACGACGGTAGGAGAATCTGCGAATTGAGCAAAGATCCATCATACGAGGTGTTCATCAAACTAGAGCCGAAAAGGAGAGATACAGTAAGCGAGCGAGCAAATAAAATGAGCGGCGTATCCAGAACCATGTAATCTTTCCGGCTCCCGGACCTGTAAGGAACAAAGCTTGACTAGTATTACTTTCTTTCAAAATTCTCCACCACTCATTTATAACTACACAAACGCCACGTGCGAACCCGGAAACATGGGTCTCGTACCTGCGGCTCGTGAGATATCAAGCGAGCCAATGTAGCACACCCAAACTCTGCAATAGAGCCCACCAGAGAAGAATGACCTTGTGGAATCCTTGTAAGAGCGGTCTGTCGTTAGAAGCACCGCCACGAGTTCCTTTCTAAATGTTTCTCTATAGACCAATTGAGCTACAATGTACTCACCGGTCGCCAAGTAACTGTATGCTCAAAATCCTCCAGGAAATGGAAGCCTAAGATGACATCTGAAAACACTTACGTGAGATTTTACGATGAGAATTCATTCAGCCAGATGTATATAATAACTAGAAAGTCTGTCAATCATTCTCATTATCTAGTATTACAACAATTTCATTCCATCAAAATCTATTCACATACTCTCTTTACGCCTCCTTCAAAAATACTTAGACAATTCTTCTACTATCTGTAGCCGCAGCAATGATGATGAAAATGACACTCAGCCATGCTGTCATGGTTTCTATCACTGCCCTTGTAGCCATGGTTGATGGCCAGCAGTATGTATAGCTCTTCCCTTGCAGTCTTGAAATTATCGAATATGGACAAGTCTGACGGCATGCTAACGAATGATTCAGTCACCCAAATACTCAATATGATCATGGCTCCTACATACAAACCACGAGTAAACCATTCATCTTTATCCATCCTGTCCCAACCGCTGCCTCCGAAAGTCGCTTCATCCAAACTCGAACCGTATTTATCGATCCGATTCGAACAATTGAAAGCAGTACTTCCTTTGTCACTTCTTTCGTGAAGCCGACCTTCACTCATGGTATTTCCGACCCAAAGCCAACTACAACTCGTGGAAGAGGTTAGTTTTCTCTATGACTCCTCCTTACAACATTTTCTAATGAAATCAAGGTTCTACAGACGACGTCCCAAACTTGCCACACAATAGTGATGGATCGGATTAGGATAATAAGCATGAGGAGGATTACGAGGGAGATGACGAGGGTGACCATGAGAGAGCTTAAGGATGGCGATGACTAGTGGAATACAGGGTGTTAGAAACTATAACCAGTATTACTCATAAAGATGCCTTAGTACTCTTCAGCAACGACTTTTTGACAGCGGGGGTAGTGCAAACCTTTTTTACAGTAGTACCTCCTTTATATAGCCAGTATAAATTTACGAACAATTACACACAGTATTCATGCTTTGATTAACTCAAATTGTTCGAATCTGAAGTGGAATCTTTTATCAATATTTTAATTCATTAATCACAAGGTGGTCGTCTATTGCACTTTGTATCGTACCAGCGTCCGTACCCCTCATTGTGCTAGAATCGCACATTCGAATTATGTATGCTCATATTGGATGATTAGGTATATAGCCTTGCGTATATTATGCGTCCCTCACAATATCTCGTTGGACTGCTGTATGTAGCCCTAGATGGTTGGATGAGTAGAAGTGTCGCATACGGCTTTGAGGCTCTAACGCGCGTGTGCGTCAGGACTCGTCCATATATCCCACCCCGTATGATAGTAGAATCAGATTTGAATGGCGCATGCGTCTAGGGGACCAAGATGCGTCCTTGATTTGTTGTTTTTACAAACAGTAGAAGCAGCGCTAGGTCGGTCAGTGGAAGTCTGGGTAGATGAGTAGAAGTCTCGTATGTAAGCGACTCTATACAGCCCGTGCTCTGTACGTCAAGTAATTTGAAAATGTTATCGCCCTACTATCAACATCAGCCCCTTCAGCAAACACCTGCAGCAGCTCAATTAAAGGCACGTGGCCATAGAAAACAGCCTGCATAACAAGAGGGATGTTGAATTTGTCATAACCATTGAAATCAAAAATTGTCCGGAGCAAAGTTGTGACTGTTGCCTCAGAACCTGTGCATACAGCACGGGCGAGTGTCTTGAAGTCAGCACTACTGTAACATCCAGCCTAGAAGAAATGAGTAATTCTGCAATGGCTTGGCTTGTTTTGACTGTACGACTGCTATGAGCGCTCTACTTCTTTCCAAGGTACTTGCACCTCCTTGAATGAAACATTGCCACGACAGCATGGTGACCTTCTTTGGCATTGGATTAAGATGCTGACCATTTTCTACCCTGTGTGCTCGCATTGAGCAATGCAGTGTCTTTATTTTCATATATCGCATTGGAATTTGCACCAGCTGCAACCAGCCTCTTCGTAATTTATACATTAGTCGTACACATAGCCGCGAAGATTGCTGTCTTTTGGTCCTTAGAAAATCTTTTGACGTCGGGTATTTCATGAGCGCCTAGTAATACTTCCACAATTCTCTCATAAAATCGCATTCAAAAAAGTGGCCGCAGCTACCAGTGCTGTGATATGTTCGCATACCACGATGTTAACATTCCCTATGTAATGTATCAATTGCTTAACGATTACCAGATGCCTAGAGTAAGCAGCCACTTGAACAGCGATGCCTACGACAATGTTCATATCTGCGCCAAGCATGCCCAACATAGCAACGATTATGGTTAGACGTAACCCTAACCCCGACAAATGTAATATAGCTTTCCATTTATTTCAATAATATAACATTACTAAATCACAATTACCGGTAATAACGAAAGAAGCAGTATATACAATTTAAAAATAATATTTCTCTGTCGCTATAAAGACGCCTAACAAAGGGCCTTAACTGTTGTAATAGAACAAGTGTAACGTGCATGTATAGCGAACCGGCCAAACAAGCGAACCGGCCAAAATTTTCCACACTCGCGATTGAAATTGTAAGAACTCTACCACAACGCCTCTAATTAAAAAACACTATTCAGAAATTTCTTCCTCAGATACTTCCTCTATAATATCACAGGTGCGCGTATTATGACCAGTCTCTCCGCAGTTGCCACAGCGCCGTGCACGTGATTCTTCCCTCGGCTTCCGACCACTACTTCTCTTTATTTCCTGCATTACCTGCTCACCAACGTCTCTATCATCCTGTAGGTCCTGCGCTTCCTGTTGACTAAGTGATCCTCCTTGCTGTAGGCGTGTTTTTTTAGCTCTACGGCGCTTACTTAGTACTTCATTTGCTTGTCGAAGTCTCTGGTTCTCAGCTTTCAATAGTACTATCTGGTGCATTACTTTTGATGCACCCTTCGTAAACTGGTCAATGGCCTCGTAAATAGGGGTTGGAGAGCTACTTTGGTGGCGTAAAATTCGATCTTTAATAAATGCAGTCTGTGATAAGGCTTCAGTAGGGTTATTTGGTGTCTGGGAAACCCAAGGCTGAGCGGAATACGGGGGGGAGTTTGGAGGCGTTGGCGTCTTTAGCTTAAGATCAAGTGTAGAAATTACACTTTCTGGGTCAAATGGAAGAAGCCCAGCCCCTCGGAACCCTCCTCGGATATTGCTTTCTGTCATTGCAATATTAAATGCGGCGTGGAAGGCAGGAAAGAAATCATCCTTAGTAATGTGGATGATCTGAGCCCGCATCATATCTTCAATTTGCTGACCATATGCCCTTTTCAAAGGGCTAAAACAGCCAACGTCGAGTGGCTGGAGTATATGAGAAGAATGAGCAGGCATACAAAGAGTGATAATGTTGTTTTCCTTGCAATATTCCTCAAATTCGTCGGAGTGGTGGCTTTCATGGCCGTCGAGGACTAATAGACGATAACCACCAATAGATTGGGACTTTGTATGCTTCTCAAAATGTCGAATCCAATCCATGCCTTTCTCATTTGTTGTCCAACCATTTTCAGTAATAGCAATCACCCAGTTAGGTGGAAATCCACTGTTTTGGTACCAAGAAGCGAGGTGATCTTTTGCGACAACAATCACAAACGGTGGAACACACCAGCCTTGGGCATTAACCCCCTGGATTACTGTAACCCATTCCCGATTACCAGGCTGTACTCTTTTTGCTTTTACACGTCCTTCTGAGCTTGTAATAACCATTGCAGTTGAGATAACGCCCATCATAAACCCAGTCTCGTCAAAGTTGTAGATATCTGCATCGTAGATTCCGTACTTCGCTATTGTGTTTCGTACAAGCTCAAACCAGCCACGAATGACTTCTGGATCTTCGCACTTAGCTCTCTGATAGTCGTATTTTCGTTGGAAGCGTGTCTGGAGTTCTGGGCGGCGCTTAACAAAGTTATAAGCCCAACGCGTCCCGACGCGTGGCGCGTCGCGTGCTTCAAGAAGTCGATTTGCTATATCTTCAACTACAGATATCCGCGGAGGAAATCCTTTTGTAGCTAGGTCGAGGATATGTTGAACAAGTACTGATTCCTCTAGCTCGGTCATTTTCCGTGAATTGGCTAAAATATCGCGTCGTGAAGGTATACCAAGCAAACGTCGACCTAGCTTCCGGTGGTCTACAGAATAGGTCCTGGCAGCAGCTCGAGCACGTAAATTTGGGTCTTTTTGCATAGCTTGGATAGCTAAGACTAACCGGCTTTCGTCATTTTTCAGAGGCATCCTTCGTTGTAGAGAAATTTAATATTTCGTGGAGGTGTGGTGGGGTCGCCGGGTTTTGGCCGGTTCGCTTGTTTGGCCGGTTCGCTATACATGCACGTTAGTAGACATTTTTTATAATAAGTTAAAGTAATATTATTATAATTAATAAATAAAGTCTAGATATCTTTTAGTAGGGAGACGCGCCTACGGGAGATCTACGGGTTACTTTACACTTACTTCCGCTTTACACTTGCTTCCGCTGACTACAAGCGAATGCGCCGTAGGAAGAGCACTGACTATTACTAAATTTTATATCAACTTATTTTTTAACATCCTAAGGCCAACCATGGTTGACCATACATTCTGGGGAAAAGGAAAACAAAAGCAAGATTCAATCAGGACTATTAATTTTTGACTGGTTAATTATAAATCACACCATATAAGCTTAATCTTTTATGTACTAGAAGGCCAAATAGTAGAGTAGCATTTTCCATGCGTCTTTCTCCAAAATGTTTGACTCCTATTATTGTACAATCATTCCTGTGGTCTTACTGCTGCTTGTTCAATTCGCAGCACAAGGAAACTACAGCATCTACTGCGCCTGTATATATTCTATGAAAAGGTTTCGTAGCCGCCAGGGAGATAACCTCACAGTGTTCCTCTTGGAATACACTTCTTTCTTACCTATTAGGACCTTGCTTGCTTGTTTCACAAAATTAGTGTCAAGGTATCACTAGGAGTATACAAGGACTATTCTGGAATAAGGTTTAGATTTATCATTAGGAGCGAAGAGATCTAAAGGCTACCTAGGTATTAATTATTTATACTCAACAAGAGCCTAGGCTAATCTTAATTTGGAAACTCCTACCCCGCACACCTATTCACTAAGGGAACAAACTCATATTCACTAATCTATGCGTACCCACACAGTCTCTCAGATTGAGGCTATTGCTTAGATCACTGTGTAAGAAATTGGTTGTTGGCTAAAACAGGATAATAAGTATAGAAGAATATGCTAGAACAGAAAAGAAAGGTAAGGCTCCTGAATTGAGTGTGACTCCAATGATATATTAATCTCAAAAGAATATAGGATAGTTGGCTTAAGATCTTAGGGTTAAAAAGACTTGATGCCATTAGAACAAGGTACTTACCTACCTAGCTTGCTTGATATTGCGTGTGAAAAGAGTCGCATTGGAAAGAAGACAAAAACTTGTGGCACCAAATAACTCAATCTACTGTTTCACAAGTTAATAATTAATCTAGTCCTTTGATAAGTTGAAGTCATGTTAGAGTAGTTACATGCTAAAGTATAAGAGTTGAAATGAAACAGAATAACTCAGAAAGATGTTAGGGAGTAACCTCACTAGTGAATAAACCTGTTTGGCTAGAACGTGGTACCACATGGGACCATGTGGGAGATGTTGAATATTCACCTATAAACCATGGAGCCCCTCTTCTTTGTGCTTTGGCTCCCATACAAATACAACTTCTAGTAACAAACCTCTTGGCTGAAGGAGGGATAGTTCATGAGCCTTTGAATTAAAACTTTCTCCCAGACGGGCCACATATTCTCGCAATACAACCAACAATAAAGAACCCCTTCCCGCCCACCCAACACCTGCGATAGACTGGAAAGGCCACCTCAGAACCAAAGATGGCTCTAGTCTCTTTGGCGAAGATGCAGAATGACANCCCCTTCCCGCCCACCCAACACCTGCGATAGACTGGAAAGGCCACCTCAGAACCAAAGATGGCTCTAGTCTCTTTGGCGAAGATGCAGAATGACATTATGGACTTCATTGACATGAGAGTCCTTGGTAAGGACTCAGCGCAAATGCCTGCGTATGGACCAAGAGCCAGGTTCACCTACTTCACTTGTCTACCCAAGGAACTACGCCTCAAGATATGGTCTTTTGCAACACCTACCGGAACGATCATAAAAGCAAAAAATGAGATTTGCATCGGTGAAGAGCTAGACTATCCGTTATCCTACAAAGATGAGTTATGGACGTGGTCTGCATCTGAAACTACATCCTACAACCGGCCAATCCCTTCTGTACTTCACACCTGTAAATAGTCTAGAGAGGAGTATCTGCACTGCGATTCGATAACCAGACACCATGCAACTTATCTAATTCTTGTTGGCCCCAACTCTACAGGAACTGAGATACGACAGTTCTTTTTCTCTTATGAGTTAGACACAGTCTATTTACATGATTTGATCTCATACTCTACCCAAGGTACAGTGACAGTGTAGATCTTGGTGCTGTGCTCTCATAACTTCAATACTAACGTTTTTCACCAGAACGATTTCGCCGACCGCTTTTTGAAAACCTCCAGAATATACTCATCGAGTACCATTATGTTGTGTCATTACTTCATCCGCATCAAGAGCATTTTTTGGGTGCTTTTCAAATTCTCCGAAAACTAGGTTTATATGACTACTATGGCAAGAGACCGTTGGACGTTCTCATAGGCATCTTGCAATCGGTTTATAAGAAATACGATACGCTCATTCAAATTCATAAAGAAGCAACACAGCTTCTTCAGCCTACAAGACAGCCCCTCGAAATCTACTGGGTAACAACATACCGAGTTCCGACCTATGGACCAAAGATGCTAGATGCTTTTCAGACTGGTTGTGCTTGTATTCATCTCGCTAGTATTCCTGACTGCATTAGTTCTATCACGACAAGACATCGCGGTGGTAAGTCCAATTGATGTGAAAAACCAAGAGCAAAACTAATATACTAGAACAGCGGTTCAATGGGTCCTACAGGCTTTGAGGAAGTCAGCTGAACTGATTTCATCAAAAACAGTCTCTGAGACCTGAGGCATGACCAAACGGGTTGCAGTTTTCGATGGTTGCGTGTAACCAAGTCTATCACCAAAGAAGCATATCTTTCCATGGCTTGGTGATTCTACACAGAATGCTACGGGTTTCTATATTCATGGGGAAAAAGAGGGCAGAAGACAGAGCAGAGCAAAAGAGAAGAAAAATGAGAAACAAAAACGGGAAAGAAGCAGAAAAGGAAATTAAGGAGGATAATTCGGGAAATTAGCGTATATGCGTCCTTTCTTCAGGACTCCTGCTTGGTGCGCAATACACTATGTTCATCCATATACTTCTAGCGCTGTACCTTTTAGTGAACAAGAATGCATATCGGACAAACTTCTCAAAAGTGAAAGAGGGTTGAATAGTGTGAACAATTCCCGAGTCTGAAAGACTTTCGAGTGGGCAGAATATGATAGTATGAAACATGAATCCGTTTTGAGCTTGAGAAGTCATTCTACTGAAGCTCAAAGCAAGGCGAGGCTAGGAGAGACAGCACTTCTTTATTCAAGAGAACGTCTTTGAGAGAAGAAATCCCCTACCAATTAGGCTACTACTATGGGCTAGTAGGCAGTCATCTTAAGGTAAAATTTTTAAGTTGTAAACACCTAGCCAAAGTTGGTTTAAACAAGTGAATATTCATCTTAATGATCAATATAATATAATAAGGAATTCCCATAGATCATCGCTAGTAATCAGTACAAGAGAGTAAAGTAGTAACACAGTAAGACAAAAGGATCAACAAGGCCGTAGTACATTGTGATTGGTGATCTCCATATCTACAGTGACATTTCATCTAATACCAGAGTACACAAAATGTGAGAAAGAAAAAACCCCATCGATGGACGAGTTGAATAAAACGCAAACTTGACCCGCGCACAAAGTAAAGCCTAGAGGCCGAGCCGCTCTCGTCGAATATCCGGCGAATCCAGTAAAACTACAAGAGAGGAACACAATTCTAATCCCCTATCCTAACGCTTCAATCTCGTTCCATAGCAGTCCCATTTCCCTGCGTCAAAAATGACGGATATAACACCCCAAACTCCACGCTGAAGATCAAAATCAAATAACCCTCGCCTATAATCCCAAATATTTATTCTTCCAATTCCCCTTCCTCACTCTCTTCGCCCTCTTCTTTCGGCATTGCGGTCGCCTTTGCCTGATTGCTGTTACTTGATTCATCGGAGTTTGTCTTGGCTCTTTTCGCTGGCGTGTCTTCTAAACCGGGACTTTCTTTTCGTTTGGTGCCTTGCTGTGAAATTTCTGATTTAATTAGTAATGAAAAGCAAGTCGAATTAAATTGGGATAACATACCTTCAGAGACATGAGTCGTGGGCTCGTTCGCTGCCTCTTTGAGAACGGCATCCGATGAGCCTGAACCTCTCTCCGCCTTATGAAGTAAGTCCTTCGACTCATCTTTGGCTTCCCTCTTGACGTCTGGCGATACCTCGTCTACTTCTTCCTTTTTGGGGAGTCCGTTGAAGCTCGCTGATCTCTCCATCCCACCATTTGTTTGTGGCGGCTTGGTAGATTTACTCAAGCCGTTCACGCCAGTATTACTCGATTGGCTCTCCTGCTGGCTTCCGTTTCGCGTCAAATGCGACCGACTCGGACTCGGTGTCTCTTTTTCTGGACTTCGACGGCTTCGGTTTATATCCTCAGCTCTGTATATGGGCGATTTCTCCCATTCATTGGCCTTTCGTCGAAGAGGGTTTTCCATGTAGAAATTTCTTACAATTGTAACTCCCTTCACAATATTGGCGACTGTACCACCCAATCTCTCCCACCAAGGATTCCCGTGCTCGTCATCTGGAATCTGGCTCTGGGCGATTTGCACACCGAAATATAGAGCTGCGATTGCGATGTCCCTCGACGTCAGCGACAAACACAAAGTAGTATGACTTCCATCGTTCAGAAACGACCAGGCAGCATTCCGCAGCTCGTTATTTGTGCCAAGTAAACCAAATTCTTTCAGAAAGCCAGTCAAGGTGTTATGTGGCGATTCCAGTACCAGGTCAAAGGTGAGTAACTCTAGTAGCATTTCCTCGTATAGAAGAATGTTATCCCTCCATCTCCAATATTCGCTAGATTGCTCGTCGACCATTAGATTTGGGTTCTTTTGCGCGGTTTTGGTGCATGCGATGACGATTTCCTTTGTTTTGCGACACGTTTCTTCGGTTTTGGTCGCAAGAAAGAGCGCAGTAGCTGCGATAACCTGTATAAAACCCGGATATCAGCAAATGTAGTTGGCAATAGCTGATTCCCGGGATGGTCGCAAAATGGAATTTCCTGGCGCAAAAGAAAGGTCATGCTGGGAAGCGGGCCTGGGGGAAACGTACATAGTGATGGTGACCTCTCTTTGGATCTAGACTGGCGCGCATGTAAAATCGCTGGAAGAAGATGCTGGCCGTGGCAATGGTAAGCTGAGGAAGCTTGAGGATACATCCCGCATGAAGTATAAAGTCTGCCCCCTTCGCTCTACAGAGGCGCTCATGCTCTGGAGGGACGCCATGCGCGGCAGAGGGCGAGTTGAGGATCTCCTTATCGGTAAAGAGCCATTGGCTCGATCCGGAAGAAGCCATTGCGAAGGTCGGGACGTGATCGTGAAGATTCGTTTCCTGGGGCGGAGAGTTTCTTCGCGCGAACGGCGGTGGTGATGGGGCGGCTGGTGGTATATTCAATCGACGCGTTACGGTGCTGGAGGAGGAACGGGATTGTCGGGCATTTGAAGGCGCATCGGAGGAGAAAAGAAGGTGTGGTCGGTAGGGCTCGACGGTGGTCATGGATGGATCTTTATAGAGGGGAGGTGAATATAATGGAAGTAATTGTGCCCGCGACAATAGGTAGGGTCCTAGGCCTAGCTCGCGGGTCCCTGTGAGCCGCTTTCTCGGCGATCGGATAAACAGTTTCGCCGACTACACCAAAACTTCTTTTCATATTTCACTTGTTCTTCTGCATTACGTAATTAAATTGTCTACATAAATGTCATAGTAATAAACTGTAAACATCTCTATAGCTCTCTTTGCTATCTTAACACTATATAAGTTGTAATTGTTCAGGAGGCTTCAAGCAACGAAAACGACTAGCAGAACCTCTCAGTATGACCAAAGTAGTTATTCTGAAGAACATCTACCTTTATAAGACAAATTCCAGCCTCACGTTTTTTGAACTAAAATATCGCTCTGAGTACCGAGACAGAAAAGATTTCAGGTGAGCTTAAGCAAAATTGGTTAATCGTATTTATCAATTAATTAATAAGTTAGTAACGCTTCTTTCTAATTCGTCATAGATCAATCAAATACGTAGAACCTACCAAATCTCATAACCTCATTATCTATTTTCAACTCTGGTGACATCCTTACATGAAGCTCAAGGCGACCTGAAGTTACAGTAGGTCTCAAGACCCATAGTCATACGATCACAAATACGGAAGTATTGCAGAGACACAACATCGGCTTGCACCAAGCTGCGTCATCACACCCTGGGAGACTCTGTATTACAACCCGAATTTGTTCTCACAACCCAAGAAAGCTAGAGTGGTTCCTGAGAATAAACGATACGAGAAGAATTGCGTATCCTAACTCTAAGCGAGCCATAGTATCATGCCCCCTCAAGCAAAGAGATTTGTCAAGTGTCCACATCCATGACGAGACAAGATAGGCACAATACCATTGATCCATTCTGGACCATCTACTTCCCTGAACTACCCACATATCCGAAAACCCCTTTCCTCGCTTCACCACAACAATCCACCTAGGAGGCCACATATCTGCTGTCTATAATCCCGGAACTCCTCTCACAATCAGTCACTTCCGACGACTTCCTACTTTTCAGGCTTTCCGTCACAGCGATAGCGTTGCCCAGTTGACCACTCAGCTTATCCATGATTTTCTCTGTTTTCTGGAGTTGAGCTTGTGTTCGCTCGAGAAGGAGTATGTATCGCATGATTGCTTCTGACTCGGTGCTGATGGTGGAGATGGGAGATGTATTTCCTACTTGATCGAGGGCTTCGGTGTCATTGGTCTCGAAATGTGAATTGTGGTTTTCGTTGGCGGGACATGAGGGTTCTTTCGGATTTATTGGTATATGTGCGGCGTCTTTGTATTTGGGTTAGTGACCATTATCTGGAGAGGTGACGAAGGAGATGGATGACCTGGTTGGTGATTGCAATTGGTTGCATCCTTCCCTTCTGCAAACCCTGCTGATTCCATTTCTTTCCTTGTCTTGGAACTGCTCGAGTAAATCTCTCGAATATTGGATGCTTGAAAAAAACGATGATCCGGCTTGGTGCGTGATTAGAAACTATTTTCTCGATTGTCCAAAATCAGTGATGGGGAAATTTGGAATCAGGTTTGATTTTGATAAGGGCTGATACATTTTCATCATCTCTTAGGGAAGGAGTGACCTTAGTGTTGCGTTGACCAATCTAATAGGGTAAGTGTTATTGATCCTAGTGATTGAACGTTCTTTTTTCAGTCAGAGAGCTTTAAAAGTGCCCTCTGGAATTTTATAACCAATTATCCATCACTGGCTTGTATAAGGCAAGAGAATTGTAGAAGGAGTACAAACATTTGTTTCACATTTTCAAAAGAACCAAAATTCTATGTGATCAAGCCTCTATCCACAGATCTCTTATCTTCTGTTGAAATCGAAAGGCCCTACGAGAGTTATGATGAACTACGACATCTGTTTGATGATCGTAACCCCTCTTCGCTTTAGGGGCTGACTTTCTAACTCAGTGAAAGCACGAAGTGTCGCCATCGAGCTCCAGTTGTTCTTTCCATCCGCGAGGCCCAGATACTTGACTACATCGCTCTTTCCTCCCAACCCCTTCGTCTTACCTTCATATTTACAATTTCGAAAGCTCTCATCCCTGCTTCTGCTTCGGGTTCCTGAAACGCCTTTTTTGAATGCTCGGGTAATTATTCCCAGGTTACAATTAAAAACTTGAACTCACTTTTAAACACCTTATTAGGTAGATCTCGCACAACTCGAAAATCCATTTTGAATGTTCTCGACTTTAGATATGAAGACGAGATGCAGATACAGCCCAGGCATGGTGTATTTCTCGACTTCGCTGGTATGGAGGTTCTTCAAGGTATGGCTAGTAGAGACTGAGTATGGGCGACCAGATTGTGCGTTATGCGCATCCAGATGATCGCTATTTCGTGGCAGTCGGCAAAGTTAGTTGTGTGTTGAAATGAATTATAATAGATTTAACATATAGACCAAAGCAATACGCTTTTCTGGTAGAGGCTCTGCAGCTACTAACACCACTTAAAACACTCTACTTTTAAAGGTGAAGTTTATGTACCGTTCGGTCTCCAGTTCCGGATACACAATGTATTGCGCAGTCTTACTCTCTGCCTGTTCATCCGCAGTATCCCAGATACTTTGGATATCTTCGCGCGTTTTGAGATAATCCCCCCCGCAACATCGACAATTCCACCGCACTAGGCGCATATAGAGTACGCAGATTCTCTATGACGTATGGGTATTTCGTTATAAATCAACGATCGAAAATCCTGTCTTTCTAATTATCGTATTCTCTCGAAAGCCCAGGGATAGTTCTTTCTTCGACAGATATGGTGAGAGATAGATTCGACAGTCTTTTATGACCGAGTAACTCGAAGATTGTCTCAATGGCTGGATGAAACGACTCAACGATCCCCTCCGATATCGAGTCTGGCGAGCGGTATGCTCGGTTTTGTGTGAATATTGGCCCCGCCTCCGGGTGTTTTTGCACAAGGATATTAAAACGGTCTCCATTTGGTTTCTGCCATGCGAATAAGTAGTGAAAGGGAATTTTCAGTTCTATCGACGTCAAAAAGCCACGGTCTTTTGTGTCGATCTTTTCAACACAGGTTGCTATTGTCCCTCATGTCCAGTCACCTGTGAAGACGAATTTGTTCTTGCTGCATGGTATTGATGCTGCCTCGTGCCTAATAATCGTACTGCATAGAAGCGAATTCGGCGCTCTTTCTTGGATATCAGAAGTCAATCTTTGATAACTACACTCCGTGGTTTTAAGGGTGATCGGGCTTTGGAGCTGCGAGAATAATATCGCAGCAGTAATTGCGAAGCTCCTGAGGAAGACCAAGAAATGTTACACGGGATTGAGAGGAAGATTGTAACGAAAAATATTGAGTAGCCATTTTTGGTAGTAAATATCAAGCATGAACATGGTTTTACTTGTTTATCCAACCCTAACTAACACGATCCAACACATGCTCCCCGACTGCATTGCTACCTGAATGCGCCCAGTCGTGGGATTTTTGCCTCAGCTGCAATGAATTGCAAACGAACAAAAGAAATCCAGGAACGGAAAAAGAAGAAACCACTCTTGTGATCCTCTAAGAATTCTATCCTGAACTGTATAGGTAGTCAGTCACATGCCCTAACCATGTCCGAGTTATGCTGTCCACTTTTTAAAACACCAACCAACCTTCCAAGCAAGTCGAAGCAAGCAAATACACTGATTTGTATAGTAGTTATCACCAACTCTGGATCAAGTATATAAAATGTACTAAATTCATTACTGATAACCAACAACCCGCTCCAAGCAGCATGAAATTACAAACTTTGTTTTTGAAGATTTAGAAAGGTGTGTTAGAGCGAGAACGTGACATTCCTCAAACACAAAGTTCTACTATCTCCATTTATTCCTATGACCGGAATATCTCCACACTCTTTCACTACACTCTTCTACTTATACCCACTCTACATAAAACCTCTCCATTATTCCTCACTTTCAGGGTTACCTCCAGGGCTACGTAGCCTAGCACGTGACTTTCCCACAAGGATCTCATCTACATCCAATAATACACATACCAAAACCATCAAATAGAATCCATAGACACTACATACGAAACCATTATCTAAAAAAGGTAATTTTTCGTCGGAGGTCAGGTCAGCACGATACTCTTCTGGGCATTTATACCCCTTTGATTCGCTATGCCAAGACTTTACGCGAGGGCATTGAAGGTTATTTCGAATTCTCCCTTTATATCCCCTTGAAACTGTTTAACCACCACCAAACTCCTTACTATAACGCAAGTTCTCTCGGATACGAGTAGAAGTTTGGAAAGGTAAAAAATATAAGGTCTCGGGACGGAGGAAAGCTATAATCACAACAGTAGATTATTAATAGCCAGAATAGTCTCTAAGAACTAATCCGTTTACATATCACTGTAAAAGTATATGTAGAACAATGCTAACACAGACCTACACGTTTTCATACCACAATAACCCATTCCGTAGCCGGGTGAAATACAATAATTCTTAAATCTCTGTTTGGCGTTTTGACTCAGATGCGTTGACCAAAACTATGGACTCCTCGGATGTATTGCGTCTGGTGGTGTAAACAGAGAACCCCTATTGAGCAAGAGTAGATATTCTCGTTCCACATCCTAATTCTAGATTCATCTACCGTATGAACGTCGTTGTAGAGTATAGTAAAATGTGTACTTCCCGTGCGAAGGTTTGCGGTAGATTCGACACTAACCCCCAACTGGACAGCAAGACCCCCACTTTCAAATCAAAACTACACCTCTAATGAGAAAAATTCAACTAGTGACATAAAGTTACACAGTAGTATCCACCAACTAATAGCGAGCCTACCTAGTCTTGACATAGAGAGGTGACTCGGCTATTGAAGGCTTTGTGATACTGCTGTGAAAAAGAGGTGAGCACCTCAATGTCGGCCTCAAACCGAAGACAAGATCTCACGCAAGAGTCACAGAACCAGGACCAGAACCAAAGACTAGAGCGGATTGTTATGGTACGATGTAGATACCGGGGATGTGTGGAATGGATTGAAGGGAATTATATAACAACATGATAGATGTTACTCATTTCCATAACAAGAACATGGTATATATGGCAATTGAGAACTAGATACCCTTACCGAATGATGTTGTATGAACCTCCCGCCCAACCTCTCAATCTTAATCCCCTTATGGTAGTAGAGACATCAGAAACAGTAGAAATGAATCTGGGTGGTAGCTCTATTCCTATCCCCATTCCCTCTCCCCCAATCTTCGACTTCCAACTTTCCACTTCCACAATCCTCTTATCCCCTTGCCACTTGCACCTTATTTCCCACTCTAACTCACAACTATAAAGCCCTAGCCCCAGCCCCAGAAAGAAACACATACCCCCCACCACACCTAGCGGCGAAGAAAGGGAATTACTCCTCTCACAAACACCCATCACACATCTCCCAAAGCCCTCAGAGCCCCTGCACACTCACATAAACACCAAACCAACAATCAAACCCCCACGTCTTCCCCCAAGACCCAATCTATTTCCAAAAACGCAATACAACACATCGACAGCAATCCCGTAATCGACAGTAACACCCCCGCTCCCCCCTTCTCTCCCCATTCCAACTTCTGAACCAAGAATTGGAAAACTGTGTTGTATAAGATTAAGATGTGAGATAGGTATTCCTCATTCTACCTTCAAAGACGATTGCGGTCGAGAATCCCACCAAATGGACAACCCTCATGAACAGCAAGTAGTTCTTCATCGTTGAATTGGTAACCTTTGCGACGGTTGTGTGTGGTGAGATTAGAAGACAAGATATGATGTTGGATGTTAGATGGATGGTTAGGACACGTTTACAGTGTCTAGATCTGCGGAGGAAGACACTGTGCGTTTATACGGCAATGGTAGTTTGATGTTGAGGATTGTGATTCTGGTTTGTTGGGTGGTGCATCTTTATGGATTTCCTGGATGTGTTGGATGGTTTGCAGGGCTGGATGGTGGTACCGAATGGGGGAGTTTCATGGATATTGGGAGACTTGGAGATGGTTTCAGACTTGAAGGTAATGAGGGATGGAGTGTTGAGGTGAGGTGGTTGGGATATTTGGTGGAAGGATGGGGAGGGATAGATGGAATGAGATGCGTAAGGTGGAATATGGTAGGTTGTGGGTAGTCGATGGAGGACTTGGTAGTATACATAGTTGTCACCCAAGTACTTCACCCCACGAAAACTCGTCAGATCACGATACCCACCCCCAGATCGCATTCAATTAATAATCATCATCAATCACATCACATCAATCAAACCACAAACACACAAGTCACAAATCAAATCCCTTCAATTTCAATACCAGACTCTCACTCACTCCCATCCCATCATATCAACCACCCCTCATATTTCCACCAGACAAACTCAAAGGGAGTATGGGTATTCGCGGTAAGTACAAAAAAAAAGCAAAAAACGCCATCGCAAAGATCATGTTCACCATGTCTCATCATTCATACATCATACATCGTTATCCCCTCAAACAAAACAAAAGAAAAGAAGAAGAAAAGTTGCAGAAGGTTTTGAGATCGTGATTCATCCAAGGTTTGTTTGTTGGTACCCAGATATCCGCATTATGGTGGAGGAGTGTTGTAGAGGTGGTTGAGCGACAGAAGGAAGCGAAGAAGTATGAATGCCAAGCCAGGTAGACGGGGGGATTGAGTTCGAAGAAGTTTGAGAAGTGTGAGAAGTGTGAGAATTTTCTTCATCCCAAGTACCGACCCAGACGATGAACATCAATGATTTGGAAGAGCAGCCGACGAGCTTCATTCTCCTCCGCAGTACAGATAGCAGCATGAGCACGCTTGGCAACATGCATATCACGACGTTCCGTAAGACGATCACCACCAGCAGCCTGACGAGCAGAACTAGCATGGCTCATGGGAGGATGCGCATGCGAATGGCCTTGTGTAAGATTACCAGCGCGAGCCTTCTGAACATCCATCCAAGCCTGACAACCAAGACCCGCACCATTAATCTCTTGCTCGCAGGTGCGATACATGTGGACGAAGGGACAGGGTTGAATCAAGCACGTGTGGGTAAGAGGAAGTGTCTCGTTGTTGAACTCGTCGCAGACCTTTTGGAGTTTGCAGCCCGGGACGGTGCAGATGCTGCTGCTGCATGTGATGGAGATGGGACAGATGTTGCGGACGCTCTCTGGGAGAGAAGAGATGAGGAATTTGATGGTGTCTTCGTCGATGCGGCTAGCTTCGAAGACGGACTGTCCGATGAGTGCTACGCCGCTGTAGGGGTGGCCTGGGTGCGGCATTGGTGGTGGTATGGTGTAGCAAAGGTTTGGTCGCTCGGTTGGGACGAGATCTAAAGCACCGACCCCTGGGATGGGGGGAACAGTGTTGGACGAGTATGCGAATGGTGCCGACTTGGATGATGAGGCAATTGCTGCCGGGACCGGCTTGGGTGAGGAGCTGGTCGGGACGAAAGATTGCTGTGTGGAAGTGTTAGATGGATGTAGATGCAAAGGTGAGGTCGAGATAACTTACTGCGCCAGGATTGAAGTTGGCGGCCGAACCTGGTCTGGCAGGCAGCGAACTAGTTGAGGCAGCGAGATCGTTTCCACCAGAGACCGAGCTGGCACTCGAACCAGGATTCTTGCCTTTCTTTCCCTTCTTGCCCTTGGTGCTGGTGGCAGCTTGGGCGTAGGTAGGTGGTGGTGTGATGGGGATCCCACCCTCCTTTCCCTTGCCCTTGCTACCAGCAGCAGCACCGTCGTTGTCATCCGTGTAGCTCTTGGTCCCAGGTGGGAACAGAGGGAACGGATCTTGAAGGGCCTCCTGGGCCGCGGGATCAATGGACTTGATCATGGCGGTCTGAGGCAGGTGAGTGGTCAGGACTGAGTAGGTGCGGTCCAGACAAAGAGCAACGATGTGATGTTCATAATAATTGATTATTTTGAACAACATCTTGTTCTTGGTCTTCATGCCCCAGTCGAGCCGCTCAAAGGCCTAGAGGTGAAGAGGTCAGCATTGGCCTTGATATGGAGAATGATAGAGGTGAAGAGTGATGAAGAGAGGGGGTCGTTGGGATGTGTGAAGATTGATATCTTACCTGCTTCTGAGCCGCCATGTCTTTCTTCATACCATCGAGGTCATCAATGGCATGTTGGGCGTTCTCCTCGGCGAGACGAAGGTTGCCCTTCTCCGCTCGGAGATCGTCCTTCACCTCGCTGTACTCGAGATGGAGTTGGTCAAGCTGGCTGTCCAAGCCAGCAATCTGAGCCCTCGCGAGCTCCAGATCGTTGCAAGTAGTGGCCATACCAGCCAACGCAGCCTCCGCGTCGTCACGGGCCCAAGCAATGTTGGTCAGCGCCGTGAACACACGCTGTGGATTGGCCTTGACTGCGTTGGCCAGACTCTCGGCATCGACGACGGAAGGCAAGGTCGAGTCGAGAGGCTTTACACCTCCACCCATCTCGGGTACTGACTCTCCAGTCAGTGAGGCAGACGCACCCACGGCGTCATACCCCATGGCATCACCTGCTACCTCACGAACAGGGGCAACAGGGAGCGGCGGCAAGAGAGCACGAGGTGTATCTCCATCAGGCTCGCCATTTTGACCTCTTGCGCGTTAGTTGCGATGTTCTGAATTTGCGGAGATGACGATGCTGCCATCGATCTCGAACGTGAGGACGACGTACCTTCCTGGAGGGTCGCGAAAAGAAAAGCGTCCTGAAAATCCATATCTGCTTCCAAGCCTGCCATGTATGCTGATTCAATCCAGGGGATGTTGAGCTGCTGGTAATTAACAAAAGGCGAGCAAGGTGGTTGATCAGCGAAGAAGTGGATGTTTGGAAGGATGGAAAGATGGAAAGATGGATGGTTGTGGTGGAGGAAGGAATAAAGGACATACTGGTTTGACTGCGGGTAATCTAATGTTGAAGACATACGTTTGGCCCTGGCCCTTCATGTGGCGTCGCCATTGTATTGTATTTGGGTAGGCATGGCGAGGAAGGTCTGCGTGGAGTTGATGCAACCAGTCGGAGGGATATCGCAAAGCAAAGAGGAGTTCAAACAAGCAAAAGGGCCAACCGGAGAAATATCGCAGGATGTGCATGCAGCCCAATTTGTCTCCGAGATGTCCAGGATGGTGGGAGTCTGGGGGTATTTAAATTTGAACCTGGGGACGCTAGTGTGTGCCACGCTAGAATGTTTTGGAAAAAAGGCAACCAATTGGATTAAGCGAGAGTTGGCAGTGAAGATAGGGGGGACGTGAATCTGGAAAATCACGCAATTTGGCACAAACTTGTGGACTTTGGAGAGATAACCTTACCCTCTTTGGGTAAGCTTTTGTGCAGATCTTGTCTGCTAATTTTCCAATGATATCAAAGTAAAATTAGAGACAAATGTTGCGACAGACTCATGGTACCGCGCCCATTTGTGCTGCAACGCCAATAGAGCACAATGCCAAAGAGCAATATTTGAAGTATCATCTTATGATTGAATAGAGATAGATGCTCTTCAACACAGCTCAACTAAAGATCATTCCTTCAGCCCAGCTAAAAGAAGCCTCAAAGCAAGAGAAAGCAGGCAAACAACCCCATCCACTCACACATCACCTCCAGACATCGTATCCTAAAATCTCACATACAAACCTGTCTTCCTCCATGACACCACCAACACAACCAACCCATCAAACGCTCTGCACCCAACACGCGTCTCTTGTCTCTCGTAACGAGAAAACAAACAATTCACCATCCATTTCGCAATAGCAATCTCAAACGACTGCGCCACTAAATGAATTCTAAAAATAATGCGTCGCAATATCAGATCCAGCTAATCATTAAAACACAGTAATCTCGTAGCTCAGTTTGGCAGTACTCTTATTCACTTATACTCAAGTACTTAGTGCAGTTGTGAAGAAAATTTGTGCTTGCCAAGACTTCTGCTCTCAAGTCTTCAAGTGAGTTCTTACAAGAGAGGAGAGAAATACACTGAATCCCCAAGCCTCCCAGCGCCATATATATCCTAAGATGAAGCAGAAACAATCCCCTGTGAACGAAGACTCCAGTGGGTCAAACATCACTTCAACTTCCTCAAGTACTTCCGAAGCAGATATTCGAATCCATCCATCCATCCAAGCCACCAGACAATTGACACCCGACAACAAGACAATGTATACAGCAGCAATACATGACCATCATCTTCATGCGAAGCGCAAGCAAATCATTTACACCACTTGATCCCATCTACTCTGGCAAAAACGAACAGGAACAACAGAGGGGGGGAAAGCTTATTGCAGTTTCTCATAGCTAGAAGCGACATCGTGAGCGGAGACATCATATCGCATGCCCGCAGGGAAGCAGAATACCACAAGTTGTGGGGGAGCTACTAGAACCCCATTCATTCATCTCCACAAGAACGCAATACTGTACATATGCAGACTCGCAAATCCGAACGGAACTGAACTAGTGTACCGCAAGCCAACACATACGGCAAAGATGGCACGAATATAACGGCAGGAGTCCTATGATGGAGGAAAGACATGAGGGGTACGAATCATCGTTGCGGGAGAGAAGCAATTGCATCATTGAGCATTCGTCTCGTTGCTCATTCCATTGCTGGAAGCCAGATATAAAACATACAACACACGGAGCATAATACATAAAACAACATGTCTCACCTGAAGCGTTAACAAACCATAACATCAACAACACATCACCATTCAAGAAGACCCCTCGCAAGCTTAAAGAAGAAACAAATAAATTCAATTTTGAGATCAGATAAATCGAGCCACCACGAGGGATGGAAACGCCATCCCTACAAATCCAAAGAGAACACCATCTATATATCCATCCATATTTTCCATCTAAAACGAAAGTCCAAATTACGCTAACCAAGAAAATTCGTTACATCCGTATCGCTGATCTACTCGATAGCAGAAGCAGATTTGTCTCCAGTAACGGGGTTCATAGCATCACTCCACTCAAACTTGAAGTCGGGGCTGATCTCCTTTCTTAGCGCCGCCTTGACAGCCTCGAGAACATTGTCGAAAACACCAAAGTTGGCGGGGTTCTCATCATCATTGCCCTCACCCTGGTAAACACCAGTGCGAACCAGACAAGTATTCCATCCATACATATTACCACCAGTAATATCGGACGCAGGGTTATCACCAATCATGTAAATGTTCTTGGGGAGCTTCTCCTCGTTATGAATGGTGTCCATCCATGAAGTCATGATCTCATCGGCGTACTTGTAGGTGGCGAGTTCTGGTTTTCCGTAGACGACACGCTCGAGTTCTTTACCAGTAAGGGCTTTATAGATGGCCTCAAGTGCGATACGGAAAGTTCCCTGGGACATTCGGGGGATTGGGTGTTCAGTTGGGCAGAGGAGATCTCCTTGGGAGAAGTAGATGGGGATTTGCTTCGTGGTTGGGTCCTTGGCTTTGGTTCCTAGGACACCGTCCTCGGAGAGAAGGAGATCGATGATGATTTGTAGGTCGGTAGCGTAGTCACGGGAGTCTGAGAACACGAGGATGGCATTGATGCGTACTTTGGAAAAGTCTCGTGGTGATGAAGTCGCACGCTGTTCGGCGGTGAAGTGCTCTCTAAGTGGAGCGATGGTTTCGTTTGCGGCGTAGATGTCGTTTGGAACAACAATGTCTTTGAAACCGTATTGTTTGGCGACTTCACGACATTGGTAGTTCTCTCCTCCAACGACAAGAACGGTCTCGTAGTACTCGGAAAGAGCGGACATGGGGGTGTGTGATTGAATGAATTGTTCAGTAGAGACTGGGTTCTTGAGAATTCTGGAGAGTTGTGCACATCTTGCAGCTTCGGGCTTTCCGGATCCGTTGGTGAGGAAGATGTGGGGGATGGTGATACCAAGCTCATTATCACCGTTCAGGATCTCAAGAACTCTTTGTCCCTCTGGGATCAAGCGATCGCCATGAACCAAGACACCATCAATGTCGAAAGCAAAAGCCATATCTTTAGCAGCCTTAGTCTTTGCGGAATGGATGTCCTGAACTTGGGAGGAGAGGATTTCCCGGGTTGGTTGAATGGGAGGCATCCCAGGTCTACTTTGCTTGACATCAGGACCTGTGACGGATGAAAGTCGTGATTGACGCTTGGAGCGAGGAATGGGTAATGAAGCTCCAAAGCTGTTGCGAGAGTTGAGGCGTGGTCGTCCTGCGCTGGCGGGAAGGTCTCCCAAGCTCATGTGGTGCATCAGCTTGTCGGTGTCAGCTACTTGAGATTTGCTTGCTGGAACTTCGACGGCTCCATATTGATGGTCGCCAGGAATTGGCAGGTCATGGTTGTAGTGTTGTTGTTTTGGGCTGATGACAGCTTCCTCAACCTTATCTTCGAAGGCAGGCATCTTGATGTATAGGTTGATGGCCTTTTGAACAGAATTAGTGATCAGTAGAAGGACTTCTGAAGGGGTTGCAATGAAGTTGTGGTTTTGGAGATAGCAAGTAAAATGAAAATCAGTCACTGGTGGGCTTCTGGCTTTGTATATATTTAGGTGAGCAAAAATAGAAGGCCATGAAAGCAAGCTAGAGAATACTTAGGAAGACGATTCAAACTGCAGCGTCACTCTGCCGACCATAACAGGGACATGTGAATCCATTACTCGTCGTCTTCAACCCGTATCCTTACCATCTCATGCAAGGCTCCACCAGAGCCTTCTCCTCTGGTTCCGAGTTGGTGTTGAAACGCAAGGCTCCAGTATACTTGGTGACGGTGAGAAAATGCTGTATCAAAAGCGGATCCGAGAGCATGCAGAGGTTAAGCCTTGCAGGAGTATACCAGGAATACACCCGAAAAACGATGCCCGGGCTAGAAAAGGTGGAGATCTGGCGCTTCGTCAAATCCCGGTCAGGACATGCACGAACGGGTTGACGCCAAAGGTCAGATACGGACGGGCCCTTCATTCCTTCATTCCCTACCTGGGGGTGGGTTTGGAAGGCTGAGGAGGGGTCGGTGAACGAGTGTATCCACGCAATGAGTTCTCGTTGATCCTCTCGTTGATCCAGTGTGACGTTGACTTTCCACACTTCCTGCTGAGGTTTGCCGCGGTATCGCCGTTGAGCTGGGTCCACACCCACATCCACCGTGTCGACAGCAATTGAGTTTATTCGTGTTGCCCTTGGCCGTTGCCGATGAGCTTGTTGCCGGTTCGTGGGCGTGGTGGGCTACGGAGGTACAGTGCGATGCCGTCACATCGAACGAAGCTCAAAGTCTACCGGTATCAAAAGTTGGCAGACCCAACTCACCAGGAGTCAAAACTGGGAAGTTAGGGCTAGGGCAGCCACACAAAGTTTGCTAGGGCAGAGAGTGATAAGAGGGCTCCATTATAGGCAGCGTGTCCTTTAATAAGGATTTTTAGTATGTACGAGGTCCAGGTCTGATTCAGAGGCTGAGGTTGACTTTTTCCTCCGCCCATCAAAGATATCAAGTGAAGTGCGAAAATTAGTGCGGCTGGCTGGGAGCCTCATTTTGCGCCATGCCCGATGCCCGCCCATCGACTCTTCCGCCGCGGGAAGGGGAGAAGGCCAAGACGCCAAGAGCGCAAGCACCGGTGGACCGGCAGATAAGATGGCCAGGGTAGCTGACTAAGCTTCCTCGGCCAGGCTGCCGGTCCGTCTCCGGTACTTCCGACGTTGGGCCCGAAGAGATATCATTGGTGACCTCCGACCTCACCTCTTGTGGGCAAAACTCCACCACGAGGCCAGGGTCCCTTTTCAGGGTCCAACAAATTTCTTGGAAGCGTGCATGCGAATCCCCACCACTTCATATTTCCAGAGTCCTGCCTCTCTTACAGAATACTAATAATGTTACAGAAAGTGCTTCGATTCGCAGAGAAAAATGTGCTCAATGGATGGACCCCTCCTCTCCAAGACGTCATCATGTACGGAGTCGCCAGAGTATGATAACCCTAACTTTTTCTTTTCACATTGCAGCCGACGCAAGCGCAGCCTGGCATAGATGCAATTCAACAATTGATATGATATACTTTCCCAACCTGATTTGTTAACTCTACACGACACCCAAGAGCCATCTTACTCTAAAAGCTTTTCTCCTAATTTCTACCCCACTTTCAAACTTTCGAACGGCAACATACGATATCGTTTCTCTCCTACATCGACCTTCCGCATCAAACCCGATACATCAAACATTCCCAAGCCTCAACGTAACATCATATCCACAAGAATGGCAGCATCAGCAGTTACAGGCCCCATCCTGAAGCTGAACAATGGCGTTTCCATGCCTTCGTTGGGATTTGGAACATTCGCAAGCGAGGGAAGTTCGGGAGAAACACACAGAGCAGTAGTCGCAGCCCTCAATGCCGGGTACCGACATCTCGATTGTGCCTGGTTCTACCAAAATGAAGAGGAAGTCGGCTCCGGCATGCGAGAATTCCTATCCAACAACCCTAACGTCAAGCGAGAAGACATTTTCATCACCACCAAGGTCTGGAATCACCTTCACGAACCAGCGGACGTGGAATGGAGTCTCAAAGATTCCCTGCGGATGCTGCAAACCCCGTATGTGGATGGGTTCCTCGTCCACTGGCCAATAGCAGCCGAGAAGAACGAGGATAACACCGTGAAAATTGGAGCGGATGGAAAGGTACCTACGCAATTTTCCTTACCCTGCACACTGCATATTTTCGCAAATTCTGATTTGTTGCTAACCGATATAACCAGTACATAATCAAAAAGGACCTAACCGAGAACCCCGAACCAACATGGCGAGCAATGGAGTTGCTTTACAAGCAAGGCTTGGCAAAATCGATTGGTGTGTCCAACTGGACGGAAAAGGGGATCGAACAACTCCTCAAGTTCGCCAAGGTCAAACCGACCGTCAACCAAATCGAAATCCATCCTTTCCTGCCGCAATACGAATTAATCCAATTCTGTCTTTCCAAAGACATCATTCCCGTCGCCTACTCACCCTTAGGATCGCAAGACCAGGTTCCAGGCACCGGTGAAAAGGTCTCGACGAACAAGGATTTGAATGCGATAGCGGACAAGAATGGTGTTTCCTTGGCTCAGGTCCTCATCTCTTGGGGATTGAAGAGGGGATATGCGGTTCTTCCTAAGAGCTCCAACCCGACGCGAATCTTGAGCAATGCCAAATTGATCACTTTGAGCGACGAGGATTTTGCTGCTGTCAACAAGGTTGCTGAGGGACGAAAGTCGAGATTTGTTAATATGAAGGATACTTTTGGGTACAACGTCTGGCCTGAGGAGGCGTAGGATATCTTTCACTCCTTGTCATTTAAAGCGTTACAATTGGATAGATAAAATAGATATCGGGATGGAACAGAAGAATGCTATTCAAATCAACATTTACAAAACCATGGGGCTACTTTCGTGTTTCATTTATAGTTACTGATCAACATCTTCCCACATCGACTAAAGCGGATAAGAAATCATGAATACGCATCATATTCCCTACCTAGACATTAACTTTCGCCAACAAGAAAATAGAAATACTCCCCCAATTCAACCAAACAACCTCCTCACCAACCCCAAAAACACCTCCATTCTCCTCCACCCCATCTAAGAACCAAACAACCCTCAACTTCCAAAAGCGCTGAACACTTAAATCCCTCTTTGTTCTTCCAACCACTGACCCACTGAAGATGCTAACCCCCACCTTGCATTTCCCCCCTCCCTCGCCACCCAAGGACGAGCAGCCCTATAACGAGAAGGAGACTAGAGATTCTTAATTCTTCAATTGTTAACTGTTTTTGTGAGGCGTGACTTCATGATGTGATGTGAAGTGTACGGAGTATGCAAGAAAAAACAAGTTTCATACTCGTTATGGGGGTATATTGAAGAATTGTTGGAACTGGACTCGTGTCGTGATACACATACAAAGGTCCCCGTCTCCCGCAAGCATGGCTATAAGAACCTCAAGCGAATGGAAGATTGAAAGACCAGAAGATGACAAACGTACTTCGGGCTACAGGATTATTTCATTGGTGGTGCGGGCGACGGGTATCGATGTCTTGATATTAGAACCATGACCGAGGACGTGGGAAAGGGGATCTTTGAATGATTAACTTCTGTGGCTTTAGGGGTAGTGATTGGATTTCGTTTGGAAAAATAGTTGAAGTGTTTACCGTCGAGAAATCTGCTGGTGTCGAAAGTGGAATGTTTGGTTGGGGAGTTCAGTTTAGTGGTTACTATATATGGGGTAGGGTTAAAAGAGATATTTTGTTTTGTGAGGATGGGTGATGTTTATTGATTGAGTGAGTGAAGGTGGGGTCTTAGTAAAAGTGACGATGGGAGATTTCAGAATTGTCTTTACTTCGTTTAGCAGGTTTGTTTGTGGAATTTCTTATGATGTGGTGTGGTGGTTTAATTATTTATACCCCTTCTACATTTCTTTACATGAAGCGATCTTTTTTTTTTTGCTGATTTGTAGGTTGGGTGGTATATGGCTTTTGGTGTAACGATATGGATGGATATAGATCTTTTGGGGAAGGGAAAAGGATGGTTGGGGATTTGATTTTGGGGGTTTGATGGGTGGTGGGAGGGTAGGGGTGAAATGAGGGGTAGTGAGGTGCTGGGATGGTGGAGGAGAAGATGGGAGAGGGAATTGATTTAGGATTTGAAATGGTATTTGTGGTTTATTTTGGATGGAGTTGTGGAAGGGTGGGTTGATTGAGGTTATCAAGGCCTTGGAGTGAGTGATTTTCTACACAGATATCATACGAGTACTGTAGAAAGAATCTGGTCTTCCTCACATCCTCATCCCTATTTACTAAGTACCTAACCAAATATTTAACACCCTCACTTCCACTCATGGTAACGTTGTTCCACTTTCAATCCCAAGCTGCCCTTAACAGCCCGCCTCTAACATAGACAAGACGCTGTGAACTCCATTATCATCCAACACCTTAAGCATCCGACACCTATGAAAGGTCCAAATATTCCCACGCAGCTCTTTCCCGAAAAAGAGGTGAGTTATCTGAATTTCCGACTGCTGGTGTGAGAATTTACTGTCGTTCTAGGTCGTGCTGTCGAGTAGAAGAAATAGTTTGGATAAAGAAGGGTAGGGACATGACACATACTAAATTACGTAAATTAAGCATTCAAGTATTTGTATATATCCGCGTTACAATAGTATGTCGTAGCACAAAATCAGAAGGAGACCACAACATCCGACAAGTTAGTTAGAGGAATATTATTTCATTCCTTAGAGGTTAAATGGCTCTAGGAACCAAAAACGCGTAGATTTATAGGGATGTTGAGAACTGGGAAGAGTCTAGACTGTGTCGTTAGTAAAGGTTGATGGATGCGGAATTCTGATTGTAGTACTGTAGTCTATGGAGGAGAAATGGGGTTTGAGTTTTTTTGCTATGCTTTATTTACTTGTAGGGGAAGTGATTTTTCTGTCGCATGTTTTAATTTGTCCCACACGGGTTCTCTAGGGCCAAATTCGCAAATTTGGTGGGACACGTGAACTTGCCTGGATATATTGAAATGATGGGTATTTTGGTTAGTTCTTGGGGTATTTGGGAGTTGTAGGATGTTTAGACTAAACGAAAGGGCTTTTCTTACTTTGCTGAGATTAGTGGTAAGTATTTACTTGGCTATCTATGTTTTAGATGGTACTTTTTGAGTTAGCTTTCGTAGCGTGATCCTGTACATTTATTTGTACATGATCTTCTGTTAACGCCTCTTGATTTATCAATAAACGTAGATAAGGAATCTATACATTAAGATTGCGACACTGAGTTCGACTTTGAGCGTGGTCTTTGTGAGTTTACTGCCATCTCTACTAAGAGTATGGAACTAGATTTCTTCTAAATAGCTGCTATTATTATACCCTAAGAATAAGCATATTATACAGCAGTTTCAAGACCAACATATACACGGTATACCCTCAACCTACTTAAGCTACCTAGTCTCCATATAATCCCCCAAGAGAATTAACAGTCATTTTTCGTACCGGGAACACTCCAAATCAAGACTAAGAGGTGAATCTGCAAGGAGGACTCACTTCCCCCTCTAGATCTCCACTGCATTCCTTCTCCCCCTCATCTTAGTACCGATATAAAACTTCCTCCGAGGACTAAGGATTTAGAAGACAAAAAATCCCCAATTCAACCAATATCGCTGATGTGCGTGGCATGGGCACCAGATATCGTTCCGCGTAACCACGAATAAATATCCCGTTGCTGTATAGGTTGGAAATTTGATTGTGCACAAGTTAAAGGACAGCTTATTTTAAGATAATAGTCATCTGAACTAATAACTCTTGTGATAAAGTTTGTCATCGTTACATTTCGCACTGTCGAATAGGGGAATACATTCGGATGAAAGGTAAAGTGCTAGAGTAGCTTCAGAAGGAACGTGGAGCGTATAAAGCTGACGCAGCGCTTCGCGTTTTGAATCTGGAGGAAGAGGTTTCCATTACCAACCCGCCTACAAGTTCACTGCTTGTCTCGCCAATACATCCTCCATGGCTTGACGGATTCTGCGCAGACAGTCCTCTCTGAGGTCAGGGTGGAGTCCTGTTACGCGCCGATCAATTAGTCTCTCAAAAACTACACTCGCCCTTACCAACGCTTTCCTGATCTAGCGTTGACATTTTGAAGGAACAATTGAACTGTACTTAGAGACTTTACAGTTTTATATATAGCGCCGAAGCGCTCCTCTACTACATCTTTTCAAATCACATGACTTCGTTTGGGTTCTGATCGATATTCTCGTCGTCCGTGAATGGTTTTGTCAAGATGTTACCACGATTCCGCTTGTATATCTTGATAGTAATCCAATGAAGAGGATTATGAGTATTTACGTAAATATGCCATGCTTTCAAATACTTCCCTCTCAACGGGCTATAAGACGTATCCAGAGTTGCTCTACTATTCCGGTGACCAATACTGAGGCTTTTTTCGAGTACTTCTTTTTACATGATTATTTGTATCTTTCTCGCTATAATACGGATCCTCTGAACAAAAATATAAATGGACGTCGCGAGGAAAATGTGTAGGTCAGTGAAAAATAGAATTTAGTAAAGCATATGATGCCGTATTTATTCACTTTGCTAGCTATAAATCAAGCGGCTGGCATGTTAAGATTTTTGACTTTCACCTGTAAATAAATTCTACAGAAGGTTCCCAGCCCAGTTCCTTTTAATATTACATTAAACCGTACTTTCACTAGCAATCAACAACTAGAAGTATTCACCAACTGCCTATCTTCCGTATCTCAAAAGTGGATCTTTCTCCACTGATAAAGAATCAAAAGGATAAAAGCAAAGAAATGGCGCCAGCAAGGTCATTCTTCCAAGTAACTACATTAGTATAGCTTTCTACATCCGTCTATCGAATTACAAGATTCGTTCGTAATCAGAACTCGAACTTATAGAATGTAATATCCTTTTTGAATATCGGATATTCTCGTCTGAATAAAGTACATCTATCTAAGGATCTATCGTCGAAGATTTACCAGTTGTCGAACTTGCGCGTCTATTCGGATGAAGAACACTAGCAATAAGGTAATAAACTATCTTAAGTTTCAAAATGATAAATCGAGTGCAATCCTAGCTGTGGCGGAAGTGATGTTCTCCAATACTGCTGTGCTTCCCGCGTAGTTGAAGCCACATCGACTCGAAATCTTGGAGGTGTGTGTATATTTACCTTTCTCAATATATTTGCAACTGGAGCTGTGTTTTATAACATTCCCTGGTGGTAAAAATCTCCAAAAAAGGGGTTGAATAGATACTTCGTGACTGATAATTTAACTTCAGAATGGGAAAGAATTGTTAGTGATTCCGCGACAGGGGGTTTGTTTTACTTTCTACAAGAGGATCTATGCTTACTATATATGTTTTGACTCTAGGGATAGTGTATGGATGAGTAAACAAATGTCTAGCATGTCCATCTACTACGAATATTTCGTACTTTCTTTGGTGCTTAGCAAACACAACTATTCACCACCAGCTCACCTTCCATGCCCTGTTACGAAACTCGCCTTGTGAACCCAGAGTAAGAAAAGTAGCAGACGAACATAAATTTGCCGCCGAACCATTTCTCTGTACGAGTGGGATGACGTGCCTGTATAGGAACTTTGCTTAGAGCTAGGAGTGATAGTATGTGTTCCTTCTCTGACTTGCCCCAAAGCGTATTACTGTCAAGCCTTAGATTCTTTCTTTTTCCATCTGAATTAAACGCGTTCGTTGCCTTCTCTAGTGCCCCGAGTCTTGCTACTGTCGATTTGAGAGTAAACATTTAGCTTTAAAACTATCAGGCACATGGAAAATAAATACCTCCATTAGTGATAATGATCCCTTCACCCAAACGACGAATAATACTATTACTTACACGTACACGTCCCCTCTTAACATCACGGGCTTCCAGTATGTAAGCTCGCACATTCATATGATATTATTTAACCTAAGGTTACATGATCGATCATACTTTAAATCGTTGCCATTCTACTTAATCAAAGAACTCGGAGATATCCTCCAACTGAATTTGGGTCTCAGAGTCGGGTTAGCAACCTTCCATTTCCTTTTCCCATCGAGTCAGTCTATATGTAGACAAATGGCAGATTCTACACCATTAATATGAAAGACATCACATGGTCATGTCCTTGTTAGACGGAGTTCACTTTGCTTGATTTACACGTATGTATTTAAAATTAGAGCTTCGAAAGAGAATTTTTCGATACTTTTGCGGTCAAGAACCGACCAGATAGTATCAGGCGAGGAGTTATTTATACTTCTTCAATACCGACAGACCATAGCAAGTATTAACTTGACGACTTGGTCCCGTCTATTATTAACCACTCTCGAGGAACACGATTCCATGGAATTTTGGAATTCTATTCCAAAAGGAACCTTCTAGAGGCCCTTTAAAATGGAATGGAATATTCTAGAGAAAAGGCCTTTGGAATTATGGAATTCTAGGGGATATCTCCTCGACGCCCCGTATGTACATTTCAAATTTTAGGTTTACGATTTCCTATTCAGGCGGTCCGAGGGGTCGGAATATTACTTAGGCGAGCTACGGGGCTTGGTCCGACATACTCCGCGCCAATTAAGGGATGCTATCGTTAGGTACCAAGACTAAAGGTTGATGCCTTAAACCTAACATTTGAAATGTACATACGGGGCGTCGAGGAGATATCATATATATACTACTATATATATGACTCTATATACTACTTTTTAACTAATAAGACTTCTTAATTTGAAGGGCCATAGGGGCTGACTAAGCAAAAGTCATGATACAGTGTATTATAGTCAAGTGAATGAAAAGCAGGGTAATCACGTGCTAGTACCTAGGTATTGTATTCCTGGATAGAGGTGAATAAGCCGAATAGCCAGGTATACAATACCTATTACGTATGGTCTATATATACTAAGCTGCCTAATATCTAGGTAGTTAGACGAGAGTGTACCTACCTAAATACTATATTATAGATCACATGATTAGTTCCATTATGGAATTCCATTATTCCACCCTGGAATATGGAATATTCCAGAGGGTATTCTAAATGGAATGGAATATTCCAGATAGGGGGTCTGGAATGGAAAGGAATTCTAGTTGCCGAACGCTGATACTTTGGTTTAGCTTCGCACACTATCTAATCGTTTCGTTTCTTATATGAAGGGTAAATTAGATAATAGAAGTCTCTTGAATCTAACTTACTAAATGCGCGCCACCAAAAATGTTATATGCTTCATCTACTATTATTATTCTGGTTGCATCCTATAACTAAAGATTATTATCTTTTCCTAGGTTGTAATATAAAGCTGTCATATCCCCCAGAACTATTATCCCAATGTTCTTAAGCAAGAAAAACAAACCCATCAGAAATAGTTCCAGTATCACCGCAATCACTACTGCCATATACAACGCATGGGTACACGGCGATACAAAAACCATTAAAAACCTACGAATCCAAAAACCATAAAGTGAAGCACCTTTCCTTCTTGTTCAATATCAAAATGCCTAAACAACTCACGTGTTAGAATCTCGACGTTTATGTAGACGAAGAGGAATGAAGAGTTGTCTCAAACCAAAAAGAAAGGCGGCAGAGGATGCCAGTGTCATCGGCGGTGGAGGAGAAGAAGGAGAGAAGACAGTACATTCCCAGGATGCTGGCTCTAATGATACTAGTGCTAATAGGAGGACACATCTGATAATGAAAAGAGAATGTAACGATTCGCCCAATAAAAACCACATGAACGGAAGAATATAATTCGACAGCAGCCACAAATCCGACAGTGAGTCTTCATTCGCCAGCCGATCAACGTTCAGATAAAATTAAGTGACGGAAAGTCTTTACCCCCCAAGAGGTCTGCAAGACAGTTAAAGCTAGTGACCTCTTTGACCACCCTCAAAGATTCCACTCTGTTTTCCATGTCCGGAACTCTATGGGCAGCATTGAGTTGTATGAAGGGGAACATCATAGCGTCAGCCCAACAGCTCAGCCCAACAGCAAACCCTTGGGCCTTGGGGCCTTTAAGTAGGGCTGCGAGCGAAGCAGCCTCTTGAGAGAGGGCCATATTTGGAAGTGTCTTGCCGCGCTTGCGAATGGTGATTAAATTGTGGTTCTTCTGAGAGTGAGGGTTATATACGCTGTAGTCGCATCTGCTATTGTGCTACTTGAAACATACCTAAGCGTATTTACCGGCTCAGGAGGATTCACCCTATAAAGCCACTTGTTACTAGGTCTAGGGCAAGTCTTCAGACAGAACGGTCATCATCTAACAGGAAATACAAATCATCATCTAAGAACTTTAATCAAGGAACTTCATTCTTAGACGTCTAACCTGTTAAAACTCCCAAGTTACCAAAAGCTTATAACAAGATATATATAAATAAGCCCAACGAAACACAGCAATTCCATTAAATTATTGCTCTCTATCACATATAACCTATTACCGTAGCACTGCAAAAATACCCAACATAAACAATAATGCCAAGAACCCTCAAGGCTCGGATTTTCCGCACTACAACCCCTTTACTCCTCAAGACCACAAGTCGAATTCAGGTTATAGTAGTACTAAGTACCTCTTTCTAAAACAAGCATGATACTCTAAATCCCATTCACATCTTCAAATGGACTACAAATATAAGAATTTATTATCATTTTTACGGTAAAGCAGTCATCCAAGGGTAGCTATTCCCTCGCCAACAACGAGACTCTGACTCCGAGAAGTAAATTTTTGGAATCGCATTTTAATTTTATTAAACTGCAACTAACTAACTAGATAAATCGTGGAAATCTGTTGATTGGGTACTTGGTATTTAAGTAACATCTCTCTATCAATACCAGCGAAAGTAACTCTCCATCAACATAACAGCGTCTTCTAAATATGTATTTACTAGCCATCTCTACGAAATCCTCTAACATGTGATACCCACTACCATAGTCTAACTTGATATAAGTTTGTGTATACGTATAGCCCTGTAGGAAGAGCCCGGAGTTCCAAGGTTGGGTGTCATCTCAATGTTTGATAGGAATTCAAAAGAAAGCTACATAATACTTTGATAGAGCTGTGCATAGGGCTGAGGTAAGTTACATGAGGTTTTGACATGAGGATGTGAAATTTGAGGGGATGGGAGAAAATTATATACCCCGCGAAAGAGTTCGGGCTAGTTGCATAATCGCAAAGCATTACTTTCTGAATGTAAAGGGCGCAAAAGGGGGGGAAAGGCGGGGGGAGAGGAGGGGGTAACATGGCAGACTCCGCTCAAGCAAACGCAAGGTTCCTCACCTTGAGTAAGCTCAATTCCTGAGAGGCGTATTTGTATCTCCACGTATTTTACAATAGGCGAGGTCTTATTTTACAAGCTTCAGAGCTCTGAGCTCACCAAATACCAAGCCACTTCTTGACTGGCGGCCTAGGTTGCCTCGCCACTTGCTTATTTTCCTCTCCAGCTGCAGCTCCATCCGTAGAAGTAGCCCCTTCGTCCGCTGTTCCATCCCCGAGCAGAATTCCAGGCCCTAGAGTCTGAGCATCACTCTTAGCAGTCCAGCCACCAAAGCCTTCATCCATATCGAATCCATGCGCTTTTCGGTACTCGTGTCTCTTCCTCACATCTTCGACTTTTGCTTTCCTTCTTTCCATGACTTGGATGGTGTTGTAATCGCTCGTCAATTTTACGACTTCGAAAAAAGTGCTTATGGAAGAAAATGGGTGGAGGAAGCAATTTTTGCCTTCTGGGAGGATATGAGTATAGGGAGAATTCCGTCGGAAGTTACTGAACCAGACGAATCCAGCGAGACCGAGTAACGTAGACTATTGGTGGAATTAGTCGAGTCTTCTTGAAAGCAGAAAGCAAAATTCATTGGGAGAAAATTGGCAATTGTTCGTAACGCAATGTGCCTAGCACAAGTAGGCACAAAATATAGCGAATATATACTTACCAAAGTTATATACATATGGACGGTCCTGTTGTTGATGAACCAGTGCGCCCAAGTTCCCTCTGATGGCATCATATTTGGGTATTTCTTTGTCGCCATCCGCGCTGTCTCTTCTGCAGAAAGATTTGGGCCTGGATATCTTGGTGCTGGTTTAGCCCTTCGTTGTGGGTGGGAAGGAGGATTGAATTTGGCAGGTTTCTCGAGGACTATGGGACCCTTTGGTTTGGGCGCAGCTTTTGGGGCCCTGGTGGTAACATTTCGAACGTTTGCTGGTTGAAGCCATAATGATCCTTGTCTAGGGAGGAGGAAGCGGGGTATCACCGCTGTAGAAATGGGTATTGATCGAGGCATCGTGACGTCGATATTGAGTCTCTGAAGAGAGTTTGCAGGAAGTTGTAACCTCTCCCCACCATCTCTAATCCCGATCGGGCGACAAATTCAACATCACGTGTTTTTATACCTTGATCATAAGGCAGAGAATCATTCAGGCATCATCGTCGGAACCTTCAGGGTGCATGATAATCCCCAGCCACCCCGGGAATCACAGCGACGTTGAAGGTCCCCAAAGCTTACCCATTGACTTCTCCAATCCCACAGCTCCAAAACTCAAGCTCCATCCAATTCCTCTTCTGCGATCCACATCGTCACCGCCAGTTCATAAATCAGAACTCAATTCCAATCTCATTGTCTGCATCAATTGCTCACAGTGTCGATCTGGTCTCCGCACGAGCCAAGGAACCCTCAATCCTCGTGGTGCCCACAGCTTCAAGACTATCAATTGCAATCAATTGACGAGGAGGGGTCATCGATTGGGTCTTGACTTTGCGATAGCTTCAAAAATGGGTTGGTTTGACGGCAGTTCCACTATAGGTGATTGGGCGCCAGGTGCGTCCTCCAAATACCATCGTTCCGACAAATCCCACCGAAGCAGCAGTCGACATCGATCTTCTGGCTCCGTCTTCGGCAGTGGAGACAGAAAACACAATTCTTCCAAAAGCACCATTCTTGGAGGTGATCATCACCATAAACATAATGCCTCCCGAAGTTCGCTCTTTGGAGGCAATTATGAAAAACATAATTCCTCGAGATCTAGCTTCTTTGGTACGACTTCCTAGCTGTAACGAGCACCAACTGGTTGAAAACATGCTAACGGAAAATAGGTGGTTTTGGTGGCGGCAGTCGCTCTTCCTCACACTATAAACGTAGCCCGCGTGGTGGCTTCATGAAGCGTGCCTATGCCAAACTTCGACAACTCCTCAGAGATCTTCTATACTATATGAAGCGCAATCCTATGAAAGTTTTTATGTTGGTCATATTACCACTTATTACCGGAGGTGCATTGACAGCACTATTGCGCAAGTTTGGCATTCGACTGCCGCATAGCATTGAGAAGTTGATGGGTGGTTCCCCCAAAGGTGCTGGAAGGGGAAACTCGACGTACGAAAGAACAAGTGTCAAAACCGAGGGACCTCTAGCCTCCATGGGTGGTGTAAGCAATGTTGTCGGTGCTATGGGCGGAATTGGATCTGCAATGAAGATGGCAAAAATGTTTATGTGAGTCGCAGGGCTGGACCAATAGATTGATATTTAAGGAGTTAGCATGGGCGTTGGATACCAGATCTTAGGATCACAGCGGTGTGGATACTTCTTTCCTCCTATGTCTTTCAGGCTAGGGGGAAGGAGTGGGCTAAGAGGACGATTTGGATGATTTGGAATAACATGAGTAGATGGATGGCTGAAGATAGCTAGAATGATAATTTGGATTTTGTTTTTTTAAGAAATTGACCCTTTTTACAAACTCAACTATAAGAGTAGACCTCCGATTCTCAAAAGCATTACAAGGTCTGATTGGAAAATTATTCGACGACTCTAGTAAACTAGATTGCCCTCTTGGGATATTTTCCAAAATTTCCCTGGTGCCAAGGGTCTTTGATTCATGTTATACGAACACGAGGTACCGGTATACCAACTCTCGCTTACCTAGGCACGGTACCGGACATCCATCCAGTAGTGGTGGTAGCATATCGTAGACTACAACTTTTCATCAATATCTCATTATGCAAGTTATTATTGAGTGCCTATGTCATGATATTTCCAGCGTGGCTGTATTACTGCTCCTTGACAAGACTTTTGATTAGTATTGAAGGTTTCTTTTTACTATTACTATGCTATCTTATATAATCAACTTCACCCTTGAAGGAGATTGAGCCAACTTTATGAGGTGTGTTTAGTTACCTGCTGTATTATTATGGGTTTTATAAAGCTTAATGTAATAATTGGACGGTCGTTAACAGCCGGGTTTGTGACGCGTGCCATAAAACTAATTTAAGCGAAGCTGGGTTATACGTTGTTTTGCGACGTTATACGCAAAACATCTATAATTAGTCAAGGACGAAAATATAATGTAGCCGTATTCTTTTAATTCTCATATCCTCTCGCCTTTTGAATACTCTTAGATTGTTGGTCTCTTCTTCTTCCCATAACACTCTTTTCAAGTTCTTGGACTATACAACACTCACTCCACATCGCGCCCTCGCGTATCACTCTCATTACAGCAAAAATGGTCAACATCATATCCGTCATTCCATTCCTCTTCCTCACTCTCACTACAGCCCAAGACCCCCTTCCCAAAGCCGACATCTTCTACCTCACAACATGTGAAGGGTGGTTCAACTCAAGAACCGCCGAAATCCTCTACTTCGCAGACAAGGACCAAGTCAACGCCAACATCTCGACGTCCGAAACCATAGCGCCAACATACAACTTCACGCTTCCAAGCTTCACAGTCTACCGGAACCGAACGAGGGAAGTCCAGCTGGGCAAGCGCAAATTCTCTGCCACCATTGGTGTTTATGCTGAGGAGCCGGTGGGCACGGCGCAGTGGTATGATCTTGATAATTGTGATGGTCAGGGGACGACGGGGTATAGCGCGTTGGATTGTCGGATTGCGAATTACATTGGGAATGAACCGTCTGTGTGGATAAAGGTTGGCCTTGATGGTGCTTGTACTGGTTTGTATTTTTGTCAGAGGATTGGGGAGACAAGTTGTAGTGCAGCTAGTTGAGAGCTATAACTTGCAGGATATTTTGTTGGGAACGAGGTGGGGGATTTGTGGGATCAGGAAAGGCACTAGGAGTGAAATGGATCAGGATTATTAGGGAGAATCTACTATTTTTCATTTGAGGGTTGCTAAGAATACAACTATTCCCAAATACCAGAAATGGTGAACAGATAGTGATGAAAGTGACTGCACCAGACTCTTATCAATTGAGTGACCTTTGCCAGGAAGATTAATGTCAGAAGAACAAGTCCACAATGGATCTAGTAGACTGTGAATGGAATGGATGAGTGACTAGGGGGGTCAAGATGCTTTGAAACGTTTCTGATTGGCTTGAAGGCTCCAGAATTCCCCGTCGCATTCTAGTGGTTTATGCTATAGCATTCAGTGACTTATTGATATCTTCACTGTTAACCTTTTGTGAATGTAAACAGACTTCTTAAGTAAGCTGCATACCCTCAAATAGGCCCGGCTGTCCCCCCCTCTCGCTTCCCTCCCTCTTTCTCACATCCTCTGAGCAGAAACTCTTCTTTCGACCAAACAAACCTCAAGCTCTAAGAGCGTACTACACACATTTCTAACTCGGCATTTATCAACACTCCTTAACACAGAAGATAACATCGATCTTGGCATCAGAATCAGTTTCTCACACCAACCAAGCGAAGCCCAATATCACCAGCCTAGGATTTCGTCCCAGCCAAAGACATGAACACCAAGACCACTTTTGGAGCCGCAGGAAACCCATGGCGAGACTGGCTATCCGAGCTCCCATCAAAAGATTCGCCCGAGAATTCACTTCCGCGAATATTAAAGGGCGTATTAGAAGAGCGGGAACGGGAAATCTCAGAACAGCCAAACCACTTCTACCAATGGCTCAAAGCAAGAGAGCTCGATTGGGACTGGGTCGCTGAGGAAGTCAACAAGAAAGCTTTGAGACTAGCGAGTTCTTACGGGGTGGAAATCAGACCTTACACGCCGGAGGAGGTGGAGTGGCAGTGGTTTCGCTTCCATGGGGAAGAGGATTTTTATGCAGGGGTTCTCGAGACTTCGATTCGCTCGACTGGTATCAAAGAGGGGTCGTGGTGGGGACCTGTTGAGAAGACGGAGTTTTTGGTATTGTTGCAGACGCATCGGTATGATGAGCTGTTTTACTATTTTACCAACGATGTTGAAAGACCGGGGTATATCGAGGAGCTGTTGCGGGATCTCAGCGAAGGAATGAAGACGCAACTTCTTTCTTGTCACAAAGAGCATGTGGGTTACGGGATTCAGTTCCGTTATGCTCAGAGGGAGTATACGTACGAAGAGATGCGGGACGAATATATCAATAACCGTTCATTCTACATCGAAGTTTTCGCTGGTAGAACAACCTACCACGACTCTCTACATTGGCTCTTGGATCCTATGCATGAATTATTCGATCCACTACCCAAGGAAAAAGTGGATTCTAAAGCTACCTCCATTCTCAACAATACGACGTTTCCAGAGGTTCAACCGTCTCCAAATTCAAACTCTGCCTTGAAGAAACGAAAAAGAAGTCTTGATGTTGACCTGCTCTGGAATAAAATCAAAAAATGGTTTCAATTCTAGCGAGGAGGTGTGTATGTGAGGGGCGGGTCCCCACTCTCACTTCATACCGTTTCGCACTTTTGGAATCACCTACGCGCTTGCAGCATTTCTGGCAATGACTCAACGATCCTTTCCTTGTTTTCTGCATCACATAATGTACATACATAGTTGGATAGCTCGTTAGATTTTCTCACATGATGAGATTCTGGAATGGTTACAGTAGAATTCTTGTGAAACCACCAAAGATATTTAGATTGGTTTGTCCTTACATATGCGAAGAATAAGTGCAGTGCTTAGCCTTGTAATAAAGAATGTCAAAAATGAAAAACTTGAGAACTATGATACTGTGTGATGAGCTAACGAGCTCTTCTCTCCCTGACAGCCTGTCAAGTGAGGTAAGCCTGAGGAGTCTTCGAAGAAATCTGGAATCTGGAATCACCTCAGGGTTGGGTAGATTACGCGAAAGCCAAGGACCGACTAAATTCTGCTCGTTCATAGTTGATGCAGCTACATTAAATCGACATTTCCTGGTCATGATTGTGTTGAGCGGAGGTGGTAGGCCAGGATAGTTGGGGGACAATTGAGGTCAAATTGAGGGAGAAGCCCACCTCAATCCTCAATCAACCTCGAGGGCCGCACATGCTTTCAAAATCTAATTAATAACATGCGCATTTGAACTCATGATACAATCCTACACTACTACTACAGCTTCCCCCATCTCGTTATTCTGCTCATACGAGACAGCCCCTTGGAAACCCCCTTCAACTAGACATGAGAAATATCAATTATCAGATGACATCAACCCACAGCAGTTAAGATCCGCCCACTATATTCCAGAGAATCGTGCCTAGGGCAGAAAAAAAATAGCGATGTTCATTTTTTCACAAGGATAGTTCAAGCCCCACCCCACCCCTCATCGCTAAGCGAATTCGAAGCAAGGATCTCAATAAAAGGATCAATATCAAACCCCTTCCCGGTTCATACTCCCTAGCTACTAGCACCCTAGTTACTAGGGGTCAACCAATCTACCTCTGCCTGCTGTCCCTTGGTGCCCTTGATATTGTTATTGCCATTAATTTACATTCCTCGATATTCGATATTCGATATTCTATACTCCTGAGGAGTCAGGAGTGCAAAGCGTAACCCTTCAGGTTCAAGTCGGAGGACCAGAAAGCCCTGAGATGGGTAGGTAGTATATAAAGATCTTTGGGTAGCTCTGGAAACGGAATCATGAACTGAACTCACCACCCAACCAACCAACTTCATCCACACTCCTTCATCAGTTCCTCCCACTCACCCACTTACCACCCACTCACTCACTCGCCCATACCCAAGCCTCCTCCTTCCTCCAACCACACACCCCCTATCACCCAAAATGCAACCAACCCTCCTCCTCCTCCTCACTCTAACTCTAACCCTCACACCCCCCCCCCCTTCACGCCTCAAACACAAACACACACCAAAACCCACTCACCCACGGAACCCATGCAAACACACACATCCGCCTAAAGACACTTCAAGAATTCCAGAGTTGTGCGGATACATATGGAGGTGGTTCGGTGACTCGTGGGACGGAGAGGGTTAGTAGGTTTTGTTTTGATCCTAGTTTGGGGGAGGTGAGTTTTCTGCTTTCTTGCTTGATTATTGGGGCGATTAATGGTGGGTGTAGTCTTGTTGTGAGTTGGATAATGGGTTTTGTAAAGCGGGGGATTTTTCGAGGGGGTATTGTTGTCATAACATATATTACTCTCCTCTCCTTTCCCCCTTCCCATCCCATCCCATCCCAATCCAGCTCGCTTACCTCTGAAATTCACTTCCCACTTCCCAATCCACCACCCACTCCCCAACCCCTACTCTCTCATCCCCCTCCATCCTCTCAACCCTCTCCCCCAAATACTCAAAAAAACCAACTAACACCCCACCTCAGGGTGAATCCCCCACCACCTGCGCCTCCCGCCTCTCCTTCACCCTCCCTTCAAGCGACACACCTTTACCCCTACCCCCTCACAAACATCCCCTACAATAGAACCCCAAACAACAACCACCACATCCCTAACAACAACCCTTTCATCTACCACTTTGTATGCCGTCACCGCGACGGTACTAGGTCTTTCTTCTTCTTCTTCTTCTTCTTCGCCGAGTAGTTTGGTTTCAATCCTAGTGTGATTGGAAATGGGAATGGGAAAGGAAGTGGAGAATTAATACCCAATGAATTCGCGCCTATTGGGTTGGTTTTGACGTTTACATACGCGTCTACGACTACAGGTTCAGCTGCAACGGTGGTGGGGGTTTTAAGAGGTATACCTACTGGGACTGGGACTGCTAATAACACTACATCCCTATCTTCATCCTCATCTCCATCCTCATATTCATCCTCATCCTCATTCGAAGCTAGCGGCATCCCTAAGAACTCCACGGGCGCCGTTACGGGTACTGGGAATGGGAATTTGAATGGAAATTTAAATGGGAACTCGGATGTTTTCCGAGGGGACGCAGGGAGGGCAGTTGGGTTTGGGCTTGGATGGGGGGGTTTGGTTATGATGTTGCTGGGGTTGGGGGTTGGTGGGGGGTTGTTGTAAGTCTTTTGGGGGGTGGATGGGTGGATGGGTTTAGGAAGGCGAGAAGGGGATGAGGAGGCTGAAGGGGAGTGGGGGTGTGTTGTATTCTATTGTATTCTACTGTATTATTGTATCATCGTATCCTTAAAATCTCAACTTTAATACCACCAAAAGATATACATATAGTAGCTTTATGATTCTCACTCTCACTCTCTCACTCTCTCTTCCCCAAGTTCACGTGAAAAGAGTGATTAAACCGTAGATAAGTGAGTATAGTATTCCCTCTTTTTCATACCACACACCAACTCTAGATCCAAGCCTCTCAATTTCCCAACTAACAAACAAACAGACTCAAAACAAACACCTCCAACACAACACCATCAATAAACCAAGCTAAAACAAAACCAGGCTTTCTATCACCATATCACCAGTACCCATTACCCAGTATCAACATTCTCACAACCACCACGCCGACGTTCCCCTTTTGTACAGCATTTATCACAAGATCAAACCCATATATCCCCTTATTCTCTTCGCGTACCTACCTGCCTTAAGTACATGAACGACTCCACTCCTTTAGACGCGGAGTAGACAACCATCATCAATCTCTACACTTCCTATTTCTTTAATTGTATCGGTAGCCGAAAAATATATATCGCCAACCATTAACCCAGATATACACACTAGACTATTTACATGTCAGTCAGCCGAGACTCCCGACATGTCTCGATGACCTAGGTGGATGCCTAGTATTCCAGCGGCTTCTACTCAGGCAGGGTCGTCTTATAAGACTCCCTGCTTGCCACTTAGCTAGCTTTCCTCGTTGTGCTTATCCTGTTCCGCGTTGTGCCCTCGTCTTCTGACAGATCTAATGGGATTGTATTGTTTTGGGGTTTTCAAGAAAACTCAACACAGAAGTGTGCTCCTCTAGCCTGTTATATCGCGCATCCCACAGTTCCTCCCCCTCCCTATCTAAGTAAACTTACTTACACTATCCAAACCCCCAAAGGAGAAGCATGAAAGCTCTACACCACTCAGGGATCTGAGCTCCCCGCAGATACAGATACCCCGATAAAGGGAAGGGCAACTGGCTCGAGAAAGCATCAACACAAAGCAGAGTATCCAGGTAGATAAATAGAATATATATATATCGGTAATTGACTATGATACCCCTTTATATATTATAAATACCTGAGATGCCCCTTAATTTAATTAAGTTGGTCTAAGATACCCCTTATTTTATATAGTTGAAAACAGGGGGGTTTATTAAGCTAGGAATCTACCCCGAAGTTTCGAACAATACTAGTATAAGAGAAGTATAACTAGGTACTAACTAGTAGATATGGGTATTATTTCGACGTAAATTAGGGGCTACTTATAAATTAATCAGGAAAGCGGGTTAAATAGTAGGGGTTTATAGTAAATAAGGAAGATATTCTTACTTAGCTAAGGAGGGGAGTAAGTAAAAGAGTCTCGAAGGAAACTAAACAACTTTAAAAATAAGTTCTAAGAGATACAAGAGCGTTCGAGACTTCAATAAGCTTAGGAGGGTATCACTACTTAGGATAATGTTATTATATAGGATGGTGTTACTTAAGAGGGCGTTACTCGGGATAGTGTTGTTGCTTAGGATGGTGTTGTTACTTAGGATAGTGTTGTTGCTTAGGAGGGTATTACTTAGGAGGATATTGCTCAGGAACAACAAATTAAGTCTAATTCAAGTGGAATTACGAATAAAAAGCGGAAGAGAAAGGATTTGACTAAATCACTACTAAAATCGAAGAGGACAGGTTTACGAAGTCGTACGTAAGTAGGTAGTAGTTAGCTAATTTACTTTATTCATAACTTTATATATGTATTACTATAGTAATATAATAAACGGCAAAAATAACTGAGATGCCCTTAGATATACTACAAATACCTGAAATACCCTTGTTTTATAGCTATTTGCGACCGAAATACCCCTGTTTTCACCTTTATAAAATAAGGGGTATCTTAGACCAACTCAATTAATTTAAGGGGCATCTCGGGTTTTTATAATATATAAAGGGGTATCTCAGTCAATTACCGTATATATATATATATATATATATGTATTTTTCATCAAAAAAAAACGGGTGGTATCATTTCTATCCATATCTCATGTCCATATCTCAAATCTCATATCTCACCTCTCAAATCAACCGCTTCAAGTTTCAAACTATACAATCCCGACTATAGCAAAAGCCGTCTAGCCAGCCCATGTTATCATTCCAATAATCCTATACAACCAAAAAAAAAAATAATACAATCTGAAAAACCCTCTACACCTGACCCTGACCAGGTAACATAACCTCCGGTCTCGCCTCCACATTCGCAATCGCACTCTGCAGCGCACTCGTAAGATCAATATGAAACAACGGTCTATTCAGCCCATTCACGACAGCCGCACGACGAATCGACGTCTTGCCACCACTCTTAACATCCACCGTGCTGGAGAGGCTATCCTGCGAACTACTCGTGATGCCCTCGCCCTCAGCATGCACATCCTTCGATACCCGCTGGCGTTGGTCCGCAATCTCCTTCTCGTTGGCTTGATGCTCCGCGACTTCAGCGGCGGAATCAGGTCCGCCCAGTTCGGAGACCGAGAAGATGGGTTTCCAGCGCTGTGCTTGGCCTTCCATGGGGACGATACTGGGGTAACCGAAGCCGGCGCTGACGAGAGCGCGTTTGGTCCAGCGGTTGTTGAGGGAGGTGAAGTGCCAGTCGACGACTTGTGGGGAGGCGTAGCGGTCCATTTGGTTGCGGACGTCGATGAGTTGTTGGACCGAGGTGATGTCGACGTTGTTGACGGCGCTGAAATCGAGGATGACGGCTTTGAGGGTGGGACGGTGGGAGTGGTCTTCTTCTTGCTTGCCGCGTCTTGGTCCCGGGTCGTTCCATGGTCGGTCGCCGCGGCGTTTGTAGGCTTGTGGGTTGGTGCGGCGGGTGTTGGCGAAGATGTGGGTGGTGAGTTGATCGAGGTAGTGGTTGGCGTTGGGGTAGTTGAAGCCTTCTGAGAAGCGGTAGATGAAGATCCCTGGAGCGGGTTCCATCACTTCAATGTCAGGGTTGGATCCATCGCCGTGGTCAATTGGAAGGAAAAGGTTTCGAGATAGTGCATCCTCGTGAGAACCACCTGATTTGGCGAATGTGCCATTGCTTTGTCCAGAGAGTAAAGGCCTGGAGTCGTCTCCAATGATTCGGTTATCGGATAGCGAGTGGACCTTGACTTTGCCGAGGAAACGACCTTTGGCTTTGCAAATTCTGAAAATGAGAATGGCAAATGACGCAGCGATAGTCGTGTAGATACCATTCTCGATGCTTGAGAAAACCGTCACAAACACACCGGCAAAGTAGATGGGGACCTCGAGAGGAGAGACACGCCAGAATTGATAGATGGTGTTTGGAGGGGTGATTAGATCGCCAACCGCGTGGATGATGACGGCAGATAGAGCAGCGCTTGGAATATAGAAGAAAACAGCTGGGAGGGCATAGATTGCCAAGAGGACAACCAGGGCTGTAATGACACCTGCCAATGGTGTTCTGACACCAGCTTTGGATTTGATAGCAGTTCGAGAGAAGGACCCAGTGGCGGGATAACCACCTAGGAAAGGGCCGAGAATATTGGTGACACCAATTGCAACCATCTCCTGTGAAGGGTTGATAATGTAGTTGTTGATACGACCAAAAGATTTTGCGATGGCAATGTGCTCAATCAAAAGAACGATAATGGTCGCAGGCAACTCGCTGGCATAAACACCGAGCATTTCGGCATTGACAGTTGGAACGGCCGCAGCTTGGAATCCTTGAGTAAAGTTAGTAAGATTAGAGTAAAGGAGGAATGATCTTGTACAAACCTCGTGGAACAGTTCCCAAAATCTTGAAGATAGGCTTCTTGCGGTGGTTGCGATTTGCCAAGAACCCGACCAAGGTGTATAGCAAGATGACTACTACAGTTCGAAGTGTCGAAGCAAAGAAATATGTTTTGGCGCGTGCTGGGTGTTTCTTGGCCATGTGTGTACAGACGAATCGGACAGTGTAAAGCAAGAATAAGGCAGTCAAACCCAACGCTGCATCCAATTTGGTTCTTGGAAGGTATCTCAAAGTGTTGATAAAGACCTTGTATGTGACACCTCTGGGATCGAATCCTGGCTTAGAGATACCCATCAAAGACGGAAGCTGACCAACAGCAATACTGATGGCAGATCCGGTCATGAACGAGGAAATCGAGACCAAGGGAATCAGGTCGACAATCCACCCAATACGCACAAGGCCGATAGCAGTGATGATACAGCCTGCAATTACAGATAACGACGAGGCTATAACATTGGGTGGGATTTCGGGGTGCGTTACAGAGGCTTTAGCGACAATCTGACCAACCAAGGTAGACATGACCGCCACAGGCTGCAAGAGAGGTTAGAGCACATCTTGGAACGAATGAGAAGAGACTTACACCGATGGTGATATCTTTCGAAGTAGCGAAGAACCAGTAAACAAGTACACCCATAAACGAAGAGTAAAGACCGTATTGGACAGGCAATCCCGCCAGGGAGGCATACGCCATTCCTTGCGGAACAACTACAGCGCCGATGGTGATACCTGGGTAGAAGGTTAGCGTGTGCTATATGAAGTAGATAAAATACCCGAATAACTCACCAGCAACCAGATCACCAGCAAGCCATTGAAGATTATAGGATCCAATCCATTTGGTGAAGGGAAAAATAGATATGCTGTATTCGGCTAGATCGTGACCACTTGGAATCGTCTCTTGCACCCATTCTAAACTTCTTGGCTCATACTCCACGTATGTTCCAGCTGTCTGGGAGGAGAAGACTGATTCCCCACGACGAATCTCCTCGCTAAGTTCGTTGCGATAATGAAGCTTTATGCCGAGAACTTCGGCAAGCCCGTGGCCAACCTTTGTGGCTGCCATATTGAATTTAGTGAGATAGTGTGGCCTGTCGTATTACTCAGAGGCGTCAATAAGGTAAGACGGCTACCGTTGACTGGTGGTAATGGTCCACGTGGAAAGCTGTCACCAAAGAATTTGGAAGACCGCAGGTTGTGAATACCAAGAACTTGGAAGTTCTTAGGAGGCGGCGAGAGTACGACACTAATATACTCTTTTTTTGATATTTCGTCTGAATATACCAGGGGTCAAGAAGTGTCCGGTTGGAATACCAAGGAGGCGGATCAACATAAACTCGAGGTTCTTCCCGCGTGGCGATCGTTCCGCATACAAGGGCCAGGCCGCCAGAAAAGCAAACGCACCCGGAAATTCTAAGATATGTCAGTTTGGGCTTTGAAGCTGATCTTGTTGCACTCCGGGGAAGTATTGCAGCAAAAGGCGTGGGGGCTTGTGATGGACCCGCCACCAATAAATTGCGTGCTCTGAATGAAGGATGGTGATTTGTACGGGTGACTGGGGGAGGAGAGCAAGCCAGGTTAAGAACCAACAGCCGCGTATATGGCTGCGTAACCCTTGAAATAACTCGTTTCCGTGAGAGGAAGAATCTTTGCTATCGACTTGAACTACAAGTAGAGGAATTGAAAGAATGAAGACCAATCGATAGTTGTTGTGACAAACAATAGGCATGAGACTAGGTTGGCTTTGGGAAAGTAGCGTGACGTGCAGGGATGAAGAAATGGTGCAATATGAAGCTAGTAGAGAAGTGTTATGGATGAGGATTGGGGACATGCTCACATGGAAGACGGAAAAGTGTCTATTCTTTTCTTTTGGATCAGACAAATCAATGCGTGACCTTTGCCTCGTTCTAGAAAAGTATTTTGTGCTACCGTGTACAATACCCGTACGGCGGTTGCTGATCTCCCGCTCCGAGGGCCTGGTTCAAGAAATGGAATCGAGGCTGAATGGAAAGTTGATTTTTGTGACGGCAGGTTGAGGAAGTAAGTGGTGCTTATATGAGACCTGGGAGGCGTGGTCTAGAGTATTCTGAGCTGATGATATTTGTGATGCAAGCGAGGTTGCGGAAACACAACAGAGTGAAGGTGGTCTCTTATGGGTTATTCACAGACGAATGTGAAGATGACGATGGGGAATCGGCGAGCACTAGAACATGGTCTCCTTCTGTTTTTGGGATATATTGAGGACGATGATTCGCATCGGCTAGCGAAAGTGTAAAAAGGAAAGAGAGAAGAGTTGAGGAGAAGGATAGACAGACAAGGAGTGGGTTCGACTGGACGGTTGGCCACTGAGGGACCAACGCGGTCTGAGAGCCAAGGATCGCCCATTATCATCCAACTTACGCTTATTTCTAGGTTCTCTTCTGGGTTAGAATGGGGAGATTATACATTGGGGTCGTAAATAGACTTGCTTCCCACCAGATGGGGTCACGATCCAACGTCAGTGTGGATTGCACTGACAGAAACGAACCCACTGCCTCATGAAAACCATGTCGCTAGCCGAGGTTAGCGCGCACGCCATTCACTCCGCACACCTCCAGCTGTGCCAAATAGACTCTGCGAGAAGACAACAATGGTGCTCATTGACATTCATCCGAGGGCCACTCATAGGAGGTATCGTCAATTGTTTTGTATACAGCGCAGGATCCTGATGCTCGGCGAGTCACGATGTGGTGGACGGAGAAACGCCAGTTGAGACTTCGTACCAGCACGATGATATCGGTCGAACAGCATCCAGACAACGTATGACCACACCCAGCATATGATCGCTCGGATATTTTCTACAGTGGTAGGCACACATATAGAGCACAGCCAGGTCCTGCGTTTCACTTCAGCCAGACTTCCAAATTTTGGTAAGCCCGGGTCAACACCTGCCCTCGTCTAAAAAGCGACCTCATCGTCAACACCATCAACTCCCTAAACGGGCCATCTGGACGAATTTGTAAGGTCCTTTCAATAACATTGCATGAGACGATTGCAGTGCAGCAGGATCCCCCATTCCATTGGCGGTACCAATCCGCCGTGATCTAGGTACGTCTTTAAACGTCCATAGTTGAGGCCATTGATCGCATATCCACAAGACATTTTGACATCGACTGAGTTGAAGCAAAACCCGGCGATAGGACAATGTATCAAGGGTCCTGACATTGCATCCTTCCCGAACCGCCTCAAGCCTCAAGTCAGACCAACCTGTGCTTGCCCACTTGTCCGGTTCCCCACGGCCAATGAGAGGGCCCCAAAATGATACAATCTGCAGGCAAAAACGCCCATTCGCACCTCATTCTCGTCTCCACTATTAAAGGCACAACGACCACTCAGACCTTGAAGGAGGCTGGTTTGTACCAGCTCGGAAAAAAGGCATGTTTGTATTTCAACGACGAGATTTCCATCTTCAAGCTTTGAGGTGGTCCCGACTACGAAGTAAATCCCAATTCGATGCAGCCGCATGTTCGGCGTAACAAGGCGATTTTTAAGCTTCGCTTGGAATCTCAAGCTTCGACTAGGGCGTCTTCTGGAACAAACGACTCCATTCGTACCTATGTTACCACCAACATCATCAAACATTATCACAATGTCGATCCAACTACTCACTTGGGTCTCTTTTGCACCAGAGATAAGACCGACATGCTATAAAAGCCAAAGGATGCCCTAACTATGCAGCCTCCATTCCGGGGTGGCTCAATGTGAAGCCTTCAACATTGGGTTTGAGGCACTTTCTACGTCACTGATAACATTGATAACGTGGGGTGCATGGAGATGATCTGCTTGGGATAAAAGGCCCTGAAGATCTCCCTTTTCTTCGCCAATTTGGTGATGGGTGGCCGAAATACCTCATTCGGCAGAGTTCATGTCGATACTATGTTGGTTGGCTGGTATTAGGAGAGATAGATGTCCTCTCTGGGATGTCGTGGAACGTAAAGTCCTCCAATGGAAGGAATGGTAATTGCAATTTGATGCTTGAGAAATCCCAAACAGCGGTAACAGTGCCTCGAGGGTGCTTCATTCCGGCAAGAAATGACGGAGGTGTGCATCTGGTTCGGGAGAGTTAGATGAACGACAATAGATCATCTCCTGGGCATGGCAGTACCAGTTTTAGGAGGCTAGTCACGTGACAGTATCCGTGATATCAAATGGATGTCGAGACCTTAAATCCATGGATGCAACTAAATGTTTACCCACTCTCACTTCCAGACTCCATCTGATTAGATTAGATTAGATCAAGTTAAAGTTTCTCTCGGTTTCGTATGAAAACAACATCACTTAAATCTCCAACAATACAATAATTGTTTAACTTGCATGCAAATAAATGGATTCAATACCCCGCATTCACTATGAGCGCGTCGCGTGGCCCAAGCGGGCACCATCACCTGGCAGTGCCCGGGCAACATCACCAAATATTGCCCCATCACCAACAACAAGCTTCACTTTTTTTAAACGTCACTTGCCGCCTGTCGCTTTCACTACAATAAATACTCGGCAACTTTGCCTTCTTATCCTCGCCCTCACCACATGAAGCGGCCCCACAACACGTCTCCACCTCAACCACTTGCCAGTCGCTCGCGTTGCTGCCATGTCGGGCTTTTTTGAAAACATCCCCAAGCTCCCCCATCCAACACGAATCCAGGATCCTCCGAGTCCGAGGTACGCACCGCACCGCCCTTGATACTTTGGCAGTATCAACATATTGAGATGTACCATGGAGACGCCTGCTAACTCATGAACGATTTCCAGGACACATCGAGCACTGCGCAGACTGCAATCAGCACACAATCTAGGTCAATCCAACAACTCCCAACCCTCGTTAATTACACAACAACATAAACAAGCCCTGCAACGAGCTCAAACCCCCACCGGCACCACCTCTACCCATCAACAACATAGTCGAGTGAGGTCCAATAGCGATGCGACAAACATGACACCCCCAATGATGGCTGCTGCGGGTAGGAGACCAGTACCAGTCAAGAGGTCTAGTGCCTCTGACGCCCTTTCTCTGGACAAATTGATACGCGATGGGCCTCCGGATGGTGATATACATGCCGCATTAGACAGCACAAGAATAAAGATATTAGGCCAAGGGATTAAAAGTGATTCCGATGGCATGGTGAGTGTTCTGTGATTCTCCTAGAGATACAATGCTAATTGTCTCAGTCCGCTCTGCGCATCTATGTCTGGCTCATCCTCCTCAATGCGCCTGTTCTAGAAACCGATTCTTACCTCGCCCTCATTCACCGAGGTGCCTCTCCAGCCTACTCCAAAATCCGCAACGACACCTTCCGAACCCTCGCTACCGATCCGCTTTTTCGCCGTCGAGTCAGCGAAGCAAGTCTCATTCGTCTCCTCAATGCCGTAGCATGGAAATTACATGATGCAAAAGAAGAGCGAGCCGCCAGTCTGGCAAAGGCTGCGACAGTTATGCATACTGCGAGTAGAGAAGGAAGTCCCAAAATGCAAAGTAAATCAAGATCGCGAGCTCTAACCTTAACCACTGAAGGTTCAGATGCAGGAGGTTCAGAACCAGGAACATACGTCCAAGGAATGAATGTTCTTGCAGCTCCCTTCCTTTACGCAGCACGTAGCGAAGCCGAAGCTTTCGCCGCATTCCATAAATTCATCACCATCGAATGTCCAGGTTATGTACGAGGAGCTATGGACGGAGTACATAAAGGATTAGCTCTCGTGGACAAAGTTCTCGCTATCGTGGATCCAAAACTGAATTTATATCTTATTGGAAAGGGGATGAGTGCTGAGATTTACGCCTTCCCTTCGGTTCTTACTCTCTGTGCTTGCACTCCGCCTTTGCCACAGGTTTTGAGACTCTGGGATTTCTTGTTTGCGTATGGGGCGCATTTGAATATTTTGTGTATTGTGGCTCAATTGGTCATTTTGAGAAATTCCATTTTGAGTTCGCCTAGGTATGTTTCTATTTTCTTGATTTCTAGTCCCTTGTGAGGAAGTTGGGATCTTGCTGATTGTTGTATTTATAGTCCTACAAAGATCCTCAGATCATTCCCTCCCTTGGTCGCAGAGACGATCATCGAAGTCACTCTTTCCATTGTCAAAAAGATTCCGGATGATGTTTTTGCTGAGATTGTATCTCATGCCAAGTAAAAGTCTATAAAACACAGGCGTTGGGTTTTCATGAATCAAGAATGTATGGTGATGATGGTATTGGCGTTTCTGGCTGATTCAGTTTGGGGGGATTGATGATGATTTCAACGCGTTTGTGATGAAGGCGCATTGAAAAAGTGGTTATGGCTTATGGCGTACCTGAGAAGGGAAAAGAAAAGGCAAGGCGTTTTGAGGTTTCCACTCATGAGGAATGGACTCGGAATGGATATTATGATTTGGGATTGGGTTTGCGTGGGTATGAGTGTGGATGGGCAGGTGGAGTATGTACTTTACAGTAGATGAAATCATGATAATGCACACAAAAACATAAGAAGTGTGACTTCCCTCCACATCTTACATCTATATCCCTGAGGTATAAGAAACTGTCTGTACAGTACAGTATCTCTATCTCTATTATTGGACGTGAGAAATACAGTAAAAGCATTTTTGGTATTCGGGGAGTTGGGGAGTAATTCGTAAGGTTATGGTACAAGTGTAAGTACAGTACCTATATTGAGTATTAAATTATAATACTAAGGAACTCAGTATTCCCATAAGCTATTCAAGGCAAAGAGGAGAGGAGGATATAGTATAGGCTGTCTTCTTTTTTTTTGTTTTTTTTTGTATTTTTTTTT